TTTCGGTTGAAAATGTTAACAGTTCCCCCAACTTAAGCAATTGCTGTTCTAAACCAAAATGATGATAATGACCACCACCTATTTCAACAATATTATAATCTTGTGACCTGGGGGTCTTTAAAAGGGTTTTGGAACATTTTGGCAAATTGGTACATGGAAATTGACAACTAAGTAAAGTGAGCAATTCATCAACAGCTGAAGCCTTAATGTTATTCTTGACTGCCCAATGTGCAAGCTCAGTTTGGAAATACTAGATAATACATCTGTATCACTATGGCTGCCTAAACTAGTTTCTGAACGGTCGTCAAAGCTATCATTATCTATACTTGCTATGTTTTTTAAATTACTATTCTCCAAACTTAAATCATTGTCTAGATCTAGATTTTCGTTACTATCCTTTGCAATATTTTCGATTTCATCCATCCACCTGTCAACGTACCTCCTTATTTTTGTTTGCTTGGACCGCTGTGATGACATAATGACATGTATTTGTTATGTAGAGTTGGCTTGCTTATCCTGTGACTTTGGAGCAAAACGAAACCAATTCATTATGATACCACGAACATCCATTTCGGTTACGTCAGTTCCAACTGTTTTCTTACGCTGCATTCCGCGACGAGTCCCGTCTGATTAAGTATATAATTGAATTAATTACTTTTGCATGGATTATAATTGATTTACAATGGACGTACACAATATTGCTAAGTTTATATTTTTAAGGTTACTGAAGCACAACTTATTGTCCCCTTTCCCGGTGTAGGAATACCGCAGACGAAGATCAGGTGCAAAAATCTTTTTAAGTATTCCCTTGACAACTTTTTCGAGGTCAGCTCCTCCAATTCCGGACAAATACTCGACCTATTAATTAATTCGATCAGTTAAAATGTGAGTCTTCATCTGAAGTATATATATTTAAAAATGAGACTAAACTTAATATTTTTCACTTACAAACTCTGCTTGTTCGGTGGGCAGAGAAAGTTGGTCGTCAAATTCACATAAGGATTCAGGAGTTAGCAGGGGGAAAGTAGGGAAAGAAGAAAAATTGTGACACGCCTCGTTCTTACTTCCAAAATTGTCATCCATCTTGTCTCGGGGATCTGCAACCTGCTCCAAAATTTCCCGTTGTGTTGTCTGGAGTTTGGCAAGGTGTTTCAAAACTAGACGTTGAAAAGCTGCAATATCGTATTATAAATAACTAAATCATTTTGGCATCATGAATTACGAATAATGAATTGCGCCATATTAACCTGAGTCGACTTTGTCCCCCGATTTCGGCGTAACGGGCAGGGAGGGAGTGCCCAAGTCAGTCAAAATTGTTGGAGAGGGTTGATTTGGGGGGTAATGACACCACCGTCGGATTGTGGTTGACTTTGGAAGTGGTAAATATTCCCCTCTTGATCTTAAAATGATATAATTATATTAAAGTTCAAGTTCTTGCGTTTTACTTTAATACATTTTTACCTTGAATTGAATTATCTCCAACAAGTTGAAAATACTGAGTTGGTGCTGGCGGGGGGGGGGGAATAATACTGCTGGGGTCTCGGTTAATTGGCACTTCTTGGATGGTCGTTTGCACGGAATACTGTCCTCCTCGTCATCCGAACTGGTCCACTGCTTTTTCGGGACCGGCACTCTCTTCTTGTTGATACCAATCGACACGTTTTCGACATCCGATTCGTTTTCTGCGAGTTGAACGGCACTCTTGGCGAGCTCTACGTCACCTATTTCAAATAAAAATTCATGTTTAATGTACAATTAATAACAAACCGTCTTGAGTAGTTTTAAAAAATTTTCAAAGATTTTCAGAAATTAACGGGCTTACCAAAATATCCTAGAACTCGACATTGTACAATGCTCCAAGTACTCAACGGCTCCGTTTGACAATCTTCGCGAACTTTGGCTGTCGGTTTAGGTGGCCAACGGCAGATTGTTTTTGCCTTAACTGAAACCTTCTCAGATAACCACTTAGCTGGGAAATATTCGACAGAAATGGGATCCTCTTCCCAGAATTCCGCAACAACAAATCCGGTTGAGAGAGACATGTTGCTGCGCTCACCACTCGTAGTCAACTAAAAAATATATTCTGGACGGATTTGTATCAAGCGGCGTGGTGTCAACTTATCTCACTTTTAGCACCATTCCAACAGAGAAACAACATAGAATTTGAGTTAAGTTGATGTTAACAAAACCATGTCACTGTCCAAATCTTACCTCAATATTACATAGACTTAACAACCATTTCTGCGTACGCATATCCAACACAAAATCAACTGTAGTTTAACTATCGATATTTATTGTTAAAGTAACGCTAGTTGGCCAACATAATATCAGCGTTATGGATGTGGAAAAGTGCACACTAATTTAACACGAACACAAATCCAACATTGAACACGTTAATCTTACGTGAATTTTACGTTCTGTTCTACATGGGTAAGCCAGCTACATAAATATCTTTTATTTTTTTAAATTTTGCACACTTTCAATATATATAAATTAATAATTTGTTTCGTTTATTCAATCATTCTTCAATATAAATACTTAGGCAAGTAGAACGCAAAAAATAAATGTTCAAGCAACTGATTCCAGTAATTTTGTTTCCGAGGGTCCGATTCTTCAATGTATAGTATTCCTCACTAAAGGTAGTGACATTTATGTAAATATGGTTGCGTAGTGCTCTAGGCAGGCTGTTACCGATGGGGTCCTTAATCAGTGGTATGGTCCAAGTCAGGTTGGAGGGGGGTCAGGTCAATGAAAAATATATCAGTTTGTGGAGTATAGTGTGGATCGGGCGCGGTCCAGTTGTACGTTTCACCTCCAAAACAGTATATTCTATTTTTACCTGGCACAAATACTGAAGACGGTGCCCATGCAAAATCCGTAGTATTGTCCAGCTTCAAGTTACCAACAGGAATGAAAACATTCTCATACGTTTCCGAGTTGAATTGTATAACGCCATCGGTTCGAGATCTGTAGAAACCTCCAATAATGTAGAGATAATTGCCAACCCTCACTGAAGAAGAGGACCACCAATCAAAAATTGGCAGAGTGCCAGACCCTACTTGTCTCATGCGTAAAGTGTCCAAATCTAACTCTAGCGCGTGTCTATTTTCAATATTCGCATCGTCGAATATGAACGCTTTGTTTCCTACCCGAACGGAAGTTGGGCTGGTCAAGTGCAGTGGGAGTTTGGTTACTTGGGACGAGTTAAGTGTCTCCATGTCAAAGGATAGTAGCTCGTCGTCCGGGCCAAACCACCCTCCCATAATGTAGACCGTGTTTGATGTATCATTAAGCTTGAAAGATGTATGGCTGGATATGTCATATGGTAGCGTCGCCGCGAGAAAGGTACTATTCAATTTGGGGTCAAATTTGTAAACTTGGCTACCTCCGAAGAAGAATATGTTGCCGTAGCCATCTTTTTGAACTGTCCCCTCCGATCCACGACCAGGCAGGCTTCCAACCACAGTAAGGGTTTCAGTTGACAATGAGAACACCAGAATTTTGTTGTTTGGATTATTAGCGCAGCCCCCAACGAGGTAGATCTTGTCTTCTCCGTCGTAAAATGGAGCCTGGCAATTGTCGGGAAACGGAAGTTTTACATCCAACCTCACTGCGGTTAATTCTTGAGAATTGAAAGGCTGGCAGAAAAGCAGCAAAGGCGCAAACAAACGGAAAATAAGAATAGGTCCGTCAAACATTTTGAAAGTTGGATAGTACCTGTAAATGTAAGACGAATTTGGGATTCTAGAATGATTTGAAGTTGTGGTTTTAACAACGGTAATAAAACTTACTTGAAATTTGCACACGACAATGGGACAGTTTTCAAAGTAGTTGTTGTAGTCGTCTCGTCAGTTGTCGAGTTATAACTGTCATGGAAACTTAGACCCTTTTCCTTTTATTAACAATTGCAAACCAATTGTTCCTCTTATCAAATAATGGAACAGTTACTTGACATTTGGCCCGACGATGTGGACATTGGTTGCGTCGCAGTGAATTCATTATTGAGAGGATGTGTGCATCATAAGATAAAACAACAATGCCTTTCGTTTTTCACAGGTGCCAATCAACAAATCAGGAAAAATGATAAGCTTCAGGCACGTGTAGGTCGGTAAATTCAACCAGCCAACCTATATACATAATATGATTATACGTGCGTCATTCACAAATGGGGCATATCAGATTACCAAGAAAACTGGACACAAACAACTGCTCATATCCTCTTTAAAAAAAGTGCGCAGTCGATTCGTTCCAAATATTTGCATGACCATGGTCACAAACTAATTTTATTAATTTGATTTGCTTCTGAAATAACACAAATTTAAATTCATGTGTCAGATTGAAGTCAATAAGATTGAATAAATTCAAGATATATAAATATAACTGTAGTTTATTCTCGAGGACTGTATGTATTTTATTTATGTGTATGTGACTAATGTGTGACTGGCGGTGGCGTAGAATGTGACCGTTTCGGCGGAAAGAACGTGGCGGAGGTCACGAATGGTTGTTTAATGGTAGTCATTTATTTTATACCAGTAGCCAATACTTACAAATTATTTAGAGTGTTTAAGAGTGTGACGAGAGGAAACTGTTCTTGTTCGGCTGTCGGAGGGACACTAAAATTCATTTCACAATTGTTCCAGAATATCACACAAAAAAGAACGCCAACTTGGCAAAAGGAACATCCTCCTCTCCTCCTCTCGACCAATGAGAAGAAAACACCTTGAAATTAATTTAATTAAAAGAGGAGGAGAGGAGAGGTCAGACTTTAAATAAAAATACAAAATTGAGAGATAAAAATGTGCACAAAACTCAATTATTTCGAGACTGACTGGAGCCCAGTTCAAATTTCCCTATTGGGCTCTCGTCTCACATCACACACAATTTCATCGTCATTTTTTCATGCAAATCCATACTATCACTAAGAGGTCATACATATTTGTTTAAATCATAAGTATTTAAGTATCTCGACGACATATTCCTCTCCAATGCGAACGTCGCATTCAATTGTCGGAGTCGAGCTGGGCGTCGTGCTTCGCGGTCTTGTCCCGCACGTCGAGGACGCATAGTTTGGCGACGGGGCGTCGGTACTGCTTCCCGTTGGACATCTTGATGTCGACGACGCGGACGATGCCGTCGTGTCCGGGGAAGGTTTTCACCACTTTCCCCAGTGGCCATTGGTTTCGGTCGAGGGTCGCGTTGACCTCGACTACGACATCTCCTTCTTCGATGGGAGTGGTTGGAAGGTCCCATTTTTCGCGGCGGAGGAGAGTGGGGAGATATTCTTGAATCCACCTCCTCCAAAATTTATTGGCCAATTCTTGAGTCGCTCTCCACTGCTTGTAGCTTGTGAGATCGGTGGGGCTGAAGTTTCCGGCCGGTTGTGGGTTGCTTGAGCGACCCAGGAGGAAATGGTTCGGCGTAAGGGCTTCGGGGTCGTCAGGATCAATTGATACGTGAGTGAGGGGGTGACTGTTGACCACGTGTTCAGCCTCCACTAGCAGGGTGTAGAGGGACTCATCCTTCAAATTCTTTTGGAGTAGGACCTTTCCCAGAGCGGTCTTGACGGAGCGGACGAGGCGTTCCCAACTTCCGCCGAAGTGGGGTGCTGATGGGGGATTCCAATGCCACGTGATTCCTCTGGTGGCGCACTCGTTCTGCATTTGTGGTTGGCTTATTTCTTGCAGGGCCGTTTTCAACTCATTGTGGGCCCCTCGGAAGTTGGTGCCGTTGTCGGAGTAGAGGTGGACTGGACATCCTCTTCTTCCGATGAATCTTCGTATCGCCAGGATACAGGAGTCCGTGCTTAAGCTGTGGGCGATTTCGAGATGCACGGCGCGGGTCACGAGGCATGTGAAGAGGGCGCCATATCTCTTTTCGCGACTCCTCTTCACGGTGACCTCGATTGGGCCGAAGTAGTCGAGTCCGGTGCGGTGGAAGGGGATGACATGACTATCCAATCTGGCGGCTGGTAATTGTCCCATCTCAGGAGGGGACGGCTTGGCTTTGTAATTTTTACAGGCTTGACATGACTGCTGGGCTTTCTTCACTGCTGAGCGGAGGTGAACGACATAAAATTGTTGGCGAATCTCATTCAAGATTTTCTCGGTGCCGTGGTGTCCACATTGGCGATGAAAGTGGGCGATGAGGAGACGTGTGTATGGATGTCGGGCGTCCAAAATGACAGGCCTTCTCATGGAGGCATCCCCTTGGGCGGCATTATCGATACGACCGCGGACTCTCAGAACTCCGTCTTTGTCCAAGTAGGGGCAAAGTTTGGACAGTTTACTCTTCTTTGGGAGAGGTAAGTCGGCAGACACGCACTCCCACTCGTTCGGGAAATTTTCTTGTTGGCTAGCTCGGCACCACCACTGTTGGGCGCGGGCCAGTTCTTCTGGGCAAAGTTCTTTGCTGTAGAGAGGAGATTTCTTCATCGTGATGTCACGGACCCGAAATACATAGGCGGTGGAATTGATCAGTCGTCTCCACTGGGAAAAGCGACTGATGTCGATGAGAGGGGCGGTTTCATGGAAATGGAGGAGGCAGTGGTTCTTCATTTCCTCTTCGGGGTTCTCTTTTACTTTCATAGAGGCGGGGACAGGCCAGAGGGCTTCATCTTGTTGGAGGAAAGGGGGACCATTCACCCAACGCCTGGAGGGGCGGAAGTCGCAGGGAGACTCAAGTCGGGTCAACTCGTCGGCGACATTTTCCAAAGTGGGGACCCACCTCCATTGTTCGGGAGTGGAGAGTTCCTGAATCTCTCCCACTCGGTTGGCGACGAATTGGACGTACTTTCTTCCGTCTGATCTGATCCATCCCAGGACGGTGGTGTTGTCGGACCAGAAAATTGTTCTGTCAATTTTCACCTCGTGCTGTTGGCAGATAGTGTGGGCAAGTCTGACTCCCATTAACGCTGCTTGGAGCTCCATGCGGGGAATGGACAAGCTCTTGAGGGGGGCAACTTTAGCTTTTCCCATAACGAGGGCGATTTCCGCATCTTCTTCTTTCTTGATGCGGAAGTAGGCAACTGCTCCAAAGGCCTCTTCACTCGCGTCGACAAACATGTGGAGTTGGACCTCATCTGCAGATGTGAAGGTCCACGAGTAGCACCGGGGAAGTCGGAATGAGGGAATTTTCTGCACATCTTGCAGCCACTTTCTCCATGATTCGAATGTGGACCGGGGGATTTCGTCGTCCCATCCGACCTCGCTGCGCCATGCTTGTTGTAGCAGGATTTTTGCTTTAATTGTGAGGATGGCCAGAAATCCCAGTGGGTCATAAATGGACATGACCAGTGACAGCATTTCCCGCTTGGTGGGGACTTTCCTACCGGACAAAATCTCCTCTCTTGCTTTGACGAAGTTGAGGGAGAAAGTGAAGACGTCGGATTCTGGTCTCCAGAAGAGACCAAGGACTCTCTCGATGACATTATCTTCCCCCATTTGCAGATCTTTCATGTTGCTGGCACGAAGTTCCTCGGGGACGTGTGCAACAACTTCAGGGGAATTTGACAGCCAATTTCGCAAGTTAAATCCACCGGCAGCGTGGATAGCTCGTACCTCGTCGAATCTCTTCTTGGCCTGCTCCACGGTATCACACGAGTCAGGTCATCAACGTAATGGCGGTTGATGATGGCATCCACGGCGTGGGGAAATTGTTGTTGAAACTCTGCTGCGTTTTTGTTCTTCGCCTCCTGGGCGCAAGTGGGCGAGCAGGTGGCTCCAAAGATGAGTACTCCCATTTCTAGGATATCGGGGGGACGAGTGCGGTCACTTCCTCTCCAAAGGAAGCGTTGAGCTTGGGCGTCGTCGTGTTTCACTTTGGCACGGTGAAACATGTCCTCAATATCAGCGGTGAGGGCAATTTGTCGTTGTCTAAATTTCAGGAGAATGTTGGGCAGTGGGACTAACTTGTCGGGTCCTTGGAGGAGATGGTCGTTGAGACTGCGACCATGATTGTTGGCGGCGGCGTCGAAGACGAAGCGCAACTTCCCTGGTTTCTTGGGGTTGTACGCCATAAAATGGGGAATGTAGTTCGTCTTGTTCGTAGTGGTGGCGGCTTCTTCCGGGGACAGAATTCTGGCGTAGCCTTTGTTCAAATACTCAGTAATCTTGCTGTAGTAACTTTTCAAAAATTCTGGGTCGCGGTCCATCTTCCTCTCCATGGACAAGAGACGACGATAGGCGTTGGAGTAACTTTCGGGGAGTTGGACATGATCATCACGCCACAACAGCGCGGTCTCCCATCCTCCTTCGACCCGACGAGTGGAGGCGTCCAAAATTTGCTGAGATCGCTTATCCTCTTTCGTTCTTGGCTTATCTAGCAACGGTTTGACCCCAAATGATTCGGTGGAGAACTGGTCCTTAACCAGTTGATGGAGGGGATCGACTTCCTGCATGTGATATGCATATTGTTCCCGGCCGGCCCAAGCTGTTCTCCCCATTAGCGCCCATCCCAGTGGCGTGCGGATGGCTATGGGAGAATTGCTGTTGTTCCCTTTTCCCACTCTGCAGTCTTTCTGTAGGAAGAGGGTGGGGTTGTCCATCCCCACGAGAATTCCTGGACGCCTACAATCGTAGGTCTCAATGTCGATTCCCTGGAGGTGGGGCCACTTTTTGAGCAGTGATTTGCGGACAGATTGCTCCCGCAATTTCAATTTGTCCACGGTCTTGACATTTTCTAATTCGTGGACGAAGCTTCCGTCTTTGGACTTGATGCGGAGGGAGACGACTTGGGTATTCAGTACGGTGGGGTCCGATTGGAATCCGCCCACCTTGATTCGACGAGACTCTCCTCTTAATCCGATGGCTTGGGCGATGGTACTTTCAATGACAGTGAGAGTACTGCCGCAATCGAGCATCATGAAGGTGGAGATGGAGCCTTTGGGGCCTTCTAAAGTTACGGGAAGGACCATTAGGTTGATGTAGGGGACTTCTTCCCCCGTGTTGACCATTTCGGGTGGTACAACGGCAGGGCGGCGAGGATTCTCAGGTTCGTCGGCTTGTATTCTACGTGGGGCAGGGATATGGAGCATCTTGTGATGGGGTTTCGCACACCCGTCGACGCCACAGGATCGGGGAAATTTGCAATCTCTGGCCCCATGGCCAGATGCCATACACCGGAAGCAGAGGTGATTGTTCTTTACGAGCTCCCACCGCTCGTCTGTTGGTTTGTCGGCGAAATCCCTACAGGCGTGTAGCTTGTGATTGTTGCTTCTGCAACAGGGGCATTTTTCAGTTGGCTTTGGTTGACGAGGACGATTATCTCGATGGTCGCCTCGTGCTTTTTTCTTCTCTTCTTCCGCCACCATGACTCGGTCGTGCGGATTTCTTCGTCTTCGGTCGTGGTGGTTAACTTCATGGCTTGTTGTCGGGGGACAGAGGACACAAGCGGCATCCGAGTAGCTTGTGAGCCACTCTGCAAAGAAGTCGACGGTCGGCAACGGGTGACCGGAAAGCGGCATGTGACGAGCCCACTCAAGCTAGCTGGTACTCGGAAGCTTCTTAACAAGCTCTTTGATGAGCATGGGGTTGCACAAGTGCTGTGCGCAATTAAGTGCTTTGATGGTGGCGGCGAGGTTATCGACGGCGATACCCATGTCGATAAGTGTGTCCATCTTGTCCATCTTGACTGGGGGGAGAGCTTGTACCTTGCTAATCAAATTTTCGATTATTTGGTCAGGGCGGCCGAATCTCATCTTCAGCTTGTGGATGACGATTGGGACGCTGTCGGGGGATACCAGCAGGCATTGCACCATTTTGAGGGCCTCTCCCTTGAGGCAGCGTTGTAAACGCACCAGGTTCTCGGCATGTGAGAACTGGCAGAAATTCGTACTGGTGAGGAAGGCCACGAAGAAAGCTGGCCACTCTTCCGGTCGACCAGTGAAAGTTGGTAGGTCTCGCCCTTGGATTTGACGTTCCAAAATCTTGTCGGCGGACGAGCTAATTGGCGGGTTGACCAAGGGATTCTGCAGCGGTGGGGGCGGTGGTTCTGCAATCGTGTAGGGCGGCATGGTCGGCGTGGACTGGGGCGCAGTCCAATAATAGTGCGCTTGAGGGGGAGGGTTTGATATTCTCCCCGTAGCAGCAGATACGAGCGGCGTGGTCGTATGAGGTACGGTGGTGACAATCGGAATATTTGGGGGCGGCGGAGCTGTAGTTGAGAACATGTGCGTCGTGGGCGCAGACGTGACGATTGGATTAATCGGGGGCGGCGGAGGTGCAGTGGAGAACGCGTGTGGCGTGGACACGGGCGTGACGATCGGGCTATTCTGGGGCGGCGGAGCTGAGAATGTGTACGGCGTGGACACAGTGGTGGACTGAGGCGCAGTCCAGTAATTTTGGTGCGTGGATTCGGGGGGCGGAGTTGCACCAAAAAATATCTGCGACGTGGTCACGGACGGTGACGACGTCAGGGTTTCCCAATAGTCCGGAGACGATGAGTAGGGCTTGGCAAATGTGGCGAAGAGGGGATTCGCCATGACGGTAGTCGTTGTTGTCGTGGCGGAGGACTATGACATTGACTGTGCAGTAATTGGGGCAACGGCGGGGTCAGTAGCAGACTGGGACGATGACTGGACAGAAGTTGGCATTTCGGTCGTGACTGGAGATGGTGGTGGAGGAAACTGCCATTGTTGCAGTTGTTGGGACAGGAATGGGGACGTAATTTGGCTGGTGCTGAGTGATTGTTGTTGCTCCGCCCACTTGAGAGTCAGATCCGTTTTGTCGACTGGTTCTGACTCTCCTTCGACCTCTTCCACATCTGAATCCGTGTCCAACTTGTTCAATTCGGAGTCGGCGTGGATCAGGATTTTCTTCTTTTGCAACTCAGCCGACTCCGCTTCAAAACTTATGACGACTTTTGCCCGTTCAACGTCCTCGATGGACTCTTCAAAGTCCTTTTCGAGACCCTTACGCTGGTCGTTAAGTGTTCGACTCTCTTCTGGGGAGAGATGGGCGTCTTCACATTGTTCCGTTATGCGCTTAATTTTGCGAAGAAGGGATTGCTGTTGGGACTCCATGAGCGCGAGCTCCCTCTTCCGCGCAAGCTGCGCCTCCTCCACGTCGACGAGCGCGGCGCGGGTCTCTACCTCGATCTTCTTTTTACTTCGGATGGTGTGGGCGCTTTTGCGCGACCCGCTTCCCGTTGCGATCGACGCTGGCGAATCCACTGCTAGCGACGTAGTGACGTTGACCTTGGGGGCGTCGTTATCCAGATATCGACGTGGCAGCATCCCTGCTGTGCTCCTTGGGGGTCGTCCCGTCATTCTGTAGGGAACAACAGACCCAACAAACGAAAAAAATTAAAATTTTGTCCTCTGGGGGGTGAAATTGGACGGCACTTTCCGAAATATGAACCCCTCAGGGGCGGGTTCAAACCCTTAAATACGGCGTGTCAACGGTGTGACGACGATTCCTATTGGCGGCCGAATGGACCCAATGGCGGCGGGCAGAGTGTCGACTCCGGACTTGGACCCTTTAGGCGGCGGGTCCTCCCACTCGTTCACACTCTTACTCTGCACTTTTAGGGCTGAGACGATTCAGGGAGCGAGACCATTATGTAGTTTATTCTCGAGGACTGTATGTATTTTATTTATGTGTATGTGACTAATGTGTGACAGGCGGTGGCGTAGAATGTGACCGTTTCGGCGGAAAGAACGTGGCGGAGGTCACGAATGGTTGTTTAATGGTAGTCATTTATTTTATACCAGTAGCCAATACTTACAAATTATTTAGAGTGTTTAAGAGTGTGACGAGAGGAAACTGTTCTTGTTCGGCTGTCGGAGGGACACTAAAATTCATTTCACAATTGTTCCAGAATATCACACAAAAAAGAACGCCAACTTGGCAAAAGGAACATCCTCCTCTCCTCCTCTCGACCAATGAGAAGAAAACACCTTGAAATTAATTTAATTAAAAGAGGAGGAGAGGAGAGGTCAGACTTTAAATAAAAATACAAAATTGAGAGATAAAAATGTGCACAAAACTCAATTATTTCGAGACTGACTGGAGCCCAGTTCAAATTTCCCTATTGGGCTCTCGTCTCACATCACACACAATTTCATCGTCATTTTTTCATGCAAATCCATACTATCACTAAGAGGTCATACATATTTGTTTAAATCATAAGTATTTAAGTATCTCGACGACAATAACATATAAATATTTATAAATTCTATGACACATGCTATCCCAGGTTAATATTACGTCCATAAATTTATTTTTTAACATTTTCTTCCTTGTCATAAATGGTTTGTTCTTCTGGGCAGTTTCATGGAAAGGAACGTGTTCAGTACAATTTAATAGTTGGCGTCCTAGAAGTTCCCTTGAAATTGATCTCTCGGTTTTGAAATTTTCGTCCCTGTGTATTTATGGAGAGCGTTTTTAATGAATTAAATAAGTTGGACAACTAATTTTCGCTAATTTGCAAGAAAAATCAAGTTAATTTCTGCTATGACGGGATTAATTCTTAATAATAGTTTCAATTTTGTCCATTAATTTTACATTTAACGGGATTGTTCAACGGATAAGCATATTCAGAATATAGGTTCAACGGATATCCATCGCCTAAATCTCAACGGGTTCATTGGATAGGACATTGGAGCTGGAGAATTGGAGGGCATCTCAAAAATAAAAAATTAGTAAGCGGAGCAGGGGAGACGTAAAAGTCTAGATAAAGTTTGCTATCACGGTTAGCTGCGTCCCTGACATGTAAAAAAATATATTCGTAAATAATTCCACATTGTCTCCTAATGTATGTATTTAGAATATGCATGTGACATATTTTCAGAAATATTTATTCTCTCACACAGAAGGTAACCATTTTGCTTATAAGAATTCTAATTGTTTCAAATAGTATACTTGAACAAAATCATTTTTTTCATTGTTCTCTGAAAACTAAAAGATATGACATCTCCAAATTACTCTGAAGGCATATCAATCACGAACTGTTTCGCCGTGGCGACCGGATCTGCTCCTGCGCAGGACAAAAAGTGGACATCCCAGTAGTGCAAATGGTCGTGCACGTTGGACAACGCGGCGAGAGAGTTGGCACAACTTAGGTCTTCGTACACCATCTTGGAGCACACTTTTTCTCCTCCAGTCAGCATGATCCATAGCTCGTTACCGTTATGGACGTATCCACCCAGAGCGGAGGGCGTATACGCGGCAAAATCCGCCTTATTTATAACCCGGGTAATTTGCATTGGTTGAGCGTTCCAGTAGTCCGCGTAGGCCTGATTTCCCACCCGGGGAGTGCCGTAGCCGAAATAAGAGTAGGATTTCGGTGTAGGAAAATCTTTGGGGAGTCCGAGTTCTTCTTTTAGCAAGAAAGAGTGAGCGACGCTGCAGCCGCGCCGAGGCTGTGGCCTGTTGACCAAAAATATTTTTTTAAGGATTCATAATTCGCACTCAAAAATGAAAAAATGATTGTGGAGAACTGCTCTTCTATTTTTAAATTTACAATAATCTGGCAAGTCCTTTGGTCAAAAGTGTGCAAAATTTGTTAAAATTTACTAGTGTACAAAATTTGTTAAAATTTACTGGTGTTCAAAATTTGTTAAATTGTACTAATGTCCAAAATTTCCCAATTTGAGCAAATTTCGATAACGCATTAACTAGCGGTCAAAACCCGCTTCTACTTCTGACCAGCATCATCCCGCCCAGTCAGGTAACTTCCAGGCTAAATTTTCCATATAAAAATTTGTATTCTTTAATCATGACAAAACCGAATAAAATTTCACAGTAGATGATCCCACCAATTTTTTATCAGCGCTGTGGATGTGTTCAGATAACCCTGAAAAATACTGCAACAAAACCTACTCACCTATCACCACCACATCAAAGTCGGGATGCTTTTTCAGCAGCTTGCCCAATTTTTCCACTACTTCCGGGTAGAGCGAGTTAGTCGCGTTAATCATGCCCGTGTGGACCCATATTTCCGGTCCTTTGCTCTTTTTACCCCTCTCGAGCGAAGTGGAACCCGCCTCAATGCTAACGATGGAAGGGTGCGTGTCCTGCACGAGATTTTGCATGTTTAGCGTCCCCCGATACGAAACCACGATCTCCTTGAGGTCCTTGTTAACCGCGATAAAAGCTAGCGTGTTGGCCTCCTTGTTGACAATTTGCGAGTGGAACTCATACCCAAAACTTTGCGATTTCTTACAGTACGGACACGTCCAGGCGGGAATGTCGAAACAGTACGCGGCCCCGGACAAGTAGACGTATTTCTTGGCTCGGGCAACATCCGGACCGTACGAGTCGATCGTTATGGGCATCATAGCTATTTCTTCGGGCGTCAGCATGGCCTTTTCGCACTGGCAGAATTGAGACTGGGAAATTATGTACAAAATTAAGACGGTCTGAAGCTTCAAAATTGTAATCCAATTTGTAACACGACGGATGACGAAAAACGAACCCATTTCACTCAATTTAGTCGAATTTGAAAGAGGAATTTATTGGTGCTTAATCTAAATGTCTGCGAATGCAAGTAATGAAAATCTTTGCTTTATTCCTACATTTAAATTTATTTATAAATTTTGAGTACTTTGTAACAATGCAATTTATTAATTGAATAAACACAATGGGTTTCTCCTCGCTGCATTATTTTTCCAGCATACGTGGGAAGTGTTCAATTGTTAAACAACTGTGACGTAGGCAGACGGGTCAAAAAGTATAAAAAATTGGAGAAACAATGGTTTGACATAGCATTGGGTACGTTTTTTTAAGCATTTAAATGCAAATTAGTACGTGCGATTTGATGCAGGCTTATGCAAAAGATGCAATAAATAATTCTTCATAACAAGATGACATTCAGAATTTGCATGCAGGGGGACAATCATAAATTATGTCACGTAAAAATCACGAATTTTAGACCACATACATCTCGTTTATCTATCTTTTGCTTTTCCACTGTAAATATTCAAATTCGATGCAAGTGTCCCCGATGAGTTGTAATGGGATGTCCATTTCAAAGGACAACAGCTCGTCGTCTCGGCCAAATCCGCTCCCATAACGTATGTAGACCGTGGTGGCTGTATCATTAAACTTGATTAGTGCGTGGCGAGAGGCGTAGTGTACACTCTAAATAAAATCATTACCAAATCATTACCAAAATGCACACGTATATGACTCTGCAGAAACGGTAATAATAACCACCAGCTGGTAAAGAAATTGATTGAACCCGAAGTGGTAATAAAGAACACTTTTTCGGATAAAATTAATACCATGATGAATGACAGATGTACTAAAATATGTAGTAAAATGTCTACCGCCTGGTAATAAATCATACCACTTTGTACACGGTGTGCTATTCATACCGGTATTAATGCTTTGTTTTACGTATACCCCGTTATTACCAAATGTTGTGCAGATTTCCACCAAAAAGAATAGATTTTTTTTGCTTTTCTTTACAATAATCTTTCAATCAATTATATTGATTGTAAAATAGTTTTGAAACATACTTATATAAAATTTAAGTATAATGGAAACTATTGAGTTACAGACATACACATATTTACATGAAATTTAAATCTGCTCCGATTTCCAACTTAAATTTTTGTTTCACTGAAAAATAAACGCATAAAAATATTATCAACTCTTTCCTATTATGATGGTTTTCGATCACCATCTTGATAAGGCGCCAACATATGATAATTTGATACTTACCTGTTTCCAAAAATTCTATATAATTTTCAGAAGTTGTTATCAGTTTTTTTTCCACGGGGAGCACTGGACCCAATAGCAGAATTGGATTAGTTTCGCCATGTTGTCTTGAGGTGATTTGAGCGGAAACTAAAACTGACAAATGCGCCACTGTTTAGCGTCTCACAATTAACACCAAACGTATTAAAATTCTTACCTCCATGGTAATAAACTACACCAAAATGTAGATATCATTAGCACCATAATGGAAACAATTTGTGCTGTACTTTAATAAAATTGTGGTAAAAAGTGTTATCTAAATTTGTAGGATATAATTACCGGCTCGTAGGAGTTTATTACCAAAATTATAAAGATAACTTAGAACATTTCGGTGGAAGGCCAGTAACCGATTTGGTATTGTTACGGTAATAACCCCGTATAATTTTTGTAGGACGCGTAATAACCAAGAGCTCGGTAAAGACGCTTATTACGAATTCTTTACCAAGTTGCTAAGAGTGTAGTCACGAAAAGGTACTATTAAATTTAGGTTTGAATTCGTAAACTTGGATACCACAGAAGAAAAATAAGTTTCCGGCGTCATCTTTTTGAAGTGTCCTCCCCTACGCACGACCAGCTAGACTTCCAACCACTGTAATGATGTCAGATGACAGTGAGAACGTCGGGATTTGGTTGTTTGGGTGGTTAGCGTACCCGACAAAATCTTGTCACCGTCGTAAAATTGAACCTAGCAATTATAGAAGTTTCATCACCAGCCGCGCTGCGTTTAATTTTTGAGAATTGAAGGATGGCATAAAATTAACGAAGGCTTAAACATATGGAAAATAAGGATTTGTGCATTCAACCTTTTTCGAAATAAAAATTCGTTCATTTCTAGTAAATTCCGTACAATTTTGGGAACTTTTAGGCCCCAGGATCCTCGATGTTGGGTTTTGCTCAGAGTTTCAAGAGTTTCATTAAGGAGTTTCAAGCTGTGGTGGCCGGAAATGAATTGCGGAAAAATGCACCCGCTCAATCGCACCCGCTCAATCGCACCCGCTCCAGCGCACCCGCTCAATCGCACCCGCTCCAGCGCACCCGCTCAATCGCACCCGCTCAATCGCACCCCGGCACATTTTGCACCCCAGCCCGTTTGCACCCGCTCCATCGCACCCGCTCAATCGCACCCCTGAACATTTTGCACCCCAGCTCGTTTGCACCCATTAAAAATTGGAACAAACGTATCTAAACGTACGAATAGTTACTGGATACTAGGTACTATAACCCATAGAACCTTATTCCTTTTGTTGTAGTTTTTAGCCCGAACCAGGGCTTATGTAATCGTTATGTCCATCCGCCTGTCCGTCTATCTTTCGATAACTCTCGAACGAGTTGACCGATTTGAGCCAAATTTGGTAGACGTATCTGGGCAATGCAACGACCGAGTTCAAAAATTCAAAATTGTGATAGAAAGTTTAAATTTGGCATGGGGCGTGCTAGTTGCTCCTAATGGAAGAATATGAAGTGAAATTATGTAGTAAAATTTTCATATGCCGGGACCCGTTGGGCTGACTCATACCGATTTTCATAACTTGTCGCAAACAGCTGAAATTCGGAACGGTGATACTTAAGGACTCCTCATGAAATAATTTGAAGTCAAATATCAACATAAAGTTACCAGAGGGGCACTAAGCGGTGACCCATACCGATTTATATGAGTTTATGGGTCTTCTCAGACACACGAAAAAATCGTCGCTTCGAATTTCGCTTACATCCTGATAAGCGAGCTCTGTGGTAAGCGAACAGAAACTCAAATCAGAAGTGGGGTTAAGGTCGCTTAGCTGAAGTCGGAACAATATTTTGCAATTTTCACAATTTTTGCCATGCTATCGATAAGCGAAATTTTTGCCACAAGAATTTTGTGCGTTCCACAATTTGGAACGAACTTTTTGCCATGCTATCGATAAGCGAAAAACAAAGCGAAATTCGAAACGATGATTTTTTCGTGTGTCTGAGGAGGGCCTATATATTCAGCTGAAATTTAGTATGGAGGCGAAAAATAACTTAGGATTAGCATTAGAACTTAGGAGGGTTGAATTTCGAATTTGTGTATAAAAAATTCTGACAGACATTAGTTTACTAAACATTCCTGGTTCGGGCTAATAAAAGCTGTACTGATAGGTTTATTAAGGGGTGCAAACGGGATGGGGTGCAAAATGTGCCGGGGTGCGATTGAGCGGGTGCGATGGAGCGGGTGCGATGGAGCGGGTGCGATTGAGCGGGTGCATTTCTCCGTATACCGCCGGAAATAATTTGCGTACTGCAGGTTTTCGACTCCACTTTCGAGTTCAAGTGATCAACCAATGGGATACACACATACGTGATTAAGGAAAATATTTGACACTATTATTTATTCAATAAAATGTATAGGTTTTACAGATATATTTAAGGTGATAACCGATTAAATAATTTTATACAATATGTCTATATCTAATTATTCAGTAATTCAGTTACCGCAGGCTGTATTAAGCTAAACGGTGCTAAACGGTGCAAATAATTTTTTACAAATAGCTAATATAACCAGCTTAAATTTACAATTGTATCATGTAATTGGGTTACCAATTACAGATTACTCTTTATCCGGTAATTGGATTACTTTTCCAATTAAATTACATTGAACGGTCTAAATTACAAATTACAATTACCGTAATTGGATTACATTTTAAATTACAAATTACTTTAGTTTAAAAATGATCCCTTTAGTCGAGCCGGCATCACAGGTTTGATCAAAAAATAGGTTTCCTATTTAGCATTACCAATAGCTTCTATGATGCCTAAAAAAAATCAATATAGCCGACAAACTATGACCTTTTCAATCGCTATAATTATTTGCATCCTGTTATTGTGTCTACTGAATTCAAACTCCTTTAGTTAGAAATAATGTGCATGAATAATTTTACTCAACAGAAGGTCTGGATTGAGTAATAGATCGTTGCAAACGAAATGTGGCAATTTGCTACATGCTACTAGCAAAGGCGTGAAGTGACACGGTGACGCCGTCATGGCTATTAAAAACTATGTCGATTTTTTTAAATTTCCTGCCCAAAACTACGTCTAAAACATCCAAGACAAAAATTCGAAATTTTTGACGTCGTCAACACTGTCACATGGTCATTGCAAGTCAAAAGTATGTCGATTTCTGAAATCCCCCCAAACTACTTTCTGAAAACCGAACCTAAAAAACGAACCTAAAAATTCGACAAGTTTAACCTTTGTTTCATCCCTTGGCGCCGTGACCCTATAACCTACAACGCCCATCCTCGAACTCGTCTGTACTTTACCGATTAGAAACACGTTGGCGAAGGCCTCATGTCGAAATTCGAATCCGTTCTAAAGTTATCATGGATACAGACGGACAAGGCATTTCCATAAAAGGATTTCACTTCGCTTAACATGCAAACCATAATTAGCAAATAAAATTGACTAGAGATTTTCAATAGAGAATTTGAGAAATGTGAAGGGCAACTTTGTGCAAAATAGAGGGAAACCAGGGTCTGTTTCTTCGATGGTATATTGTATATCTCCTCCGAATACTATTTCAATGTAATTGGTAATTTGGAGTAACCCAATTACATTTAATTGAAAACATCAATTACAAATTACCGACTACCAGTTACAGTTTTAGAGAATCCTCCAATTACATTACCAATTACATTTTGTGTAGTCCAATTACGTAATTGGATTACATGTAGATAATTAGATTACATGTAATTAGATTACATGTAATTGGCCCATGTATTCGCGATTTTTTAATTAACAATTAAACCTTAATGTTTTTGAGGTATACATAAAGTTCTCGAGGATTTTTAATCTTGCTTTCGTATTGTAACAACAAGTTCTCGTATTTCGTAAATAAAGAAATGAATGCATTTTTTGAGAATAATGTGAAATTGTCTCACTCTCTCATGCATCTCACTCACTCGGTCGGTATCATGGTGTTAAATTCATTAGTGTCAGTCTACATTTAAGTGAGTAGTACATATTTTTTTCTTGTCCATTGTTTTCTGAGAAATTGTCGCGTCTCGATTCCATTCCATGTATGGAATTAAAGTAAGTAAATATTTGAGCAGGTTTGTTCAGTTAGTGAGAAAGTAGTGTGAAAACTTATATAAATTCATACTCAAGGGTGGATGAAGTATGCACTTGGTACGACCAGGCCTCGATCCAGCCCATAATCTTACGTGGGCAACGAAATTATGGACCCCAATCAGCTAACGGTTTTGTCGCTCTTTTTGTTTTTTTTTCTCAAACAAATATGCGAACAAAATTTTCTTACCGAAGCCTTATTAGGGATGGACATTTACAATGAGATTTACAAACTTTTTACGCTCCTATTTACATACAACCTTGATATCTTAGTATATTATAAGCCGTTGTGGACGACGTAACCGCAGTGGCGTAACTACGCATCAGCATTGACCAATTAATCATTAGTGGCAAAGCAAACAGGTCCAACAGTAATTACAAGCATCATATATAGTAGAAAATAATGATTATGAAATACATGTGACACATAATAATATACGTGCCGCCCCTGATCGAGCGCTCTCATATTTCCCCATCTATTTCCCATACAGTTATCATCACCCTTAAATGTATGATCTTCAAATGTCAATAAATTTAAAGCGAACCAAATGATTCTGGTAAAAAGTGAAAGTGGGATAACTAGCCGAGTGTAGCTGGCTGGTTTATACTAGTATGTATGTATAATAGCTTGAACTTTGCGTAATATTGAGCAGATCAATATTAGCTGTAACTTTTGTGAAAAAATATCAATTCAGATCAGATCTCATGGCGGTGGGCCGGGAGTAGAAAACGGTCGAGCCTATGGTTCATCTATTAAAAATGCGTCATTATATTATATGTCTATACTACATATTGTATTGATTTTCCTATCAACGAGCCTGGTGCGTGTCAACGGTTCAAAGTGTTGAAAACGTTTTTAGTTTTGGAACATGTGGAGAATTCCATGCATGGCTTAAACTCGAAATTCATAATAATTCAAGCGTGTATTAAATAATTTTTTAGAAAAAATGACGCATTTTTATTAGATAAACCACAGCTGCCCGCTCGGCCAGACAGTTCTTCGCTGATCATTTTGTGCTCAGGAAAACGGCAGACTTTGAGTGTCTAATTTTTTCCGCAGGGTAGCTCATCAGGTATCTTTTAATGTTAAAAGTTTAGATATGTAACCCGAATAATTTTTGAATAGCCATCCGCGAAGGTTTCTCGAACGGCGCGATTGCAGTTCGAAACATAAATCAATCTGTTCTAAAAAAAGTGTTGGTTTTTTATTCCTAATTTTTTCATGATCCATAGCACATGCAACTCAGAACGCTGTAGCATCCACTAATTGACGAATAATATCGCAGCAAAAATAATTTTTAAAGTCTCACACGGATCGAAGGAGGAGACTTTTCTTGGACTTTCAAAATGACCGGTTAAAAATAGAGCGTCATGAATACATAAATAATCCTTATCTAAATTTTTGTACTTTATCTCCCGGTATATTTACAAATGTTGAATATTGGTGCGCAATTAATCCATCTACTGCATAATAATGTTATGCTTCCTAAATAATAAGTATATATATTAAAGTTGTTACGTTTCGCATAAATATTTATTCACTTATTACACAGAAATTCAACAAAAGTTCTCACTAGATTTAATATAACCTGACACCAAATTCAACACAATTTGCTTATCCAATTTCCTCTACAAATTTCATCCTTCTCATCAAACCACAGGAATGACGAATTGTCCCGCCGTGGAGAACGGATCTGCTCCAGCGCACGATAAATACGCGACATCCCAATATTGCAAATGGTCTGGCAGATTCGACATTGAGGCGACGGAATTGGCACAATTTGGATCTTCGTAAACCGTTTTGGAGCAAACTTTTTCTTCCCCGGTCGGCGAAAGCCATAATTCATTGCCGTGATGGACATACCCACCAAGGGAAGGGGGCGTATACGCGGCGAAATCGGCTTTATTTATGACCCGGGTAATTTGCATTGGCTGACCGTTCCAGTAGTCCGCGTAGGCCTGGTTTCCCACGCGGGGAGTGCCGTAACCGAAATAGGCGTAGGATTTCGGTACAGGAAAATCTGCGGGGAGTCGGATTTCTTCTTTTAGCAGGAAAAGGGTCAGAGCCGCTGCAGCTGCGCCGAGGCTATGACCTGTCGCAATAATAAATAAATAAATAAATATTTAGGCTTCAGAATTCGTACCTGTGGAAAAATGATTGTTGTGGACAGCGTTTAAATAATTCGCTTTAAAATAATTTTGTAAATAATTTCTGTTCAAGAATGTCCTAATATGCTTAAAAATACACCCGAAACACTTATTGTGAAAAATGGCTACCGTAGTCAAATTAGTATATTCATGATTCACAAAAATCACTATAAAAAGAAAATTCCACAGAAATTAGCCTTATATCTATTATAGCCTTACAATCTGAAATTTCGCTCGCGAACTTTTTACCAGTGTTGACAAATGCATATAAATAACCACAAAGAGTATTAACATAGCAAAACTCACTTACCGATCACAACCACCTCAAAGTCCTCATTTTCTTTCAACACCTTGCCCAATTTTTGTACAATTTCTGGGTAGAGAGAGTTTGTCGCGTTAATCATTCCTGTATGGATCCTTATCTCGGGTCCTTTGCTTTTACCCCTCTCGAGAGGACTAGACCCCGTCTCAATGCTCAATATGGAGGGGTGAATGTCCAGCACCACATTCGCGACATTTAGCGTTCCTCGAATCGTAACCACGATCTCCTTGAGCTTCTTGTTAACCGCGATAAAAGCCAACGTGTTGGCCTCCTTGTTGACAATTAGCGAGTGGAATTCATACCCGAACCTGTGCGATTTCTCACAGTACGGACACGTCCAGGCGGGAATGTCGAAACAGTAGGCGGCCCCGGATAAGTAGACGTATTTCTTGGCTCGGGCGACATCCGGACCGTATGAGGCGATCGTTATTGGCCTCGTGGAGATATCGTTAGGCGTCAGTACGGTCTTGTCACACTGGGAAAGTGGATACTGGGAAATTAAGTACAAAATTGCGTAAAATTTAGAGATTTTACTCAAATCTTTAACACAACTGAGGACAAAAATTTTGGCCATGGCGCTTAATTTGTTGGAATTTTAGCCAGCAATTTGATTTTATCAAAATGTCAAATTTCTTAATTTTTATCGTTAATTTTAAGTTGGTTAAAAAATCCTCATCAACAACGCCATTTATAGATGTCTGAAATATAACTAAAAAGGATGCGGAGATGGGTGCTTCCTCCCTCTATTATTTTTTCTTTAACGAGGAACATCCTGCGTTGGTATTGTTTAATTACTAAACAATTGTGAGGTTAGAATTGTATCACCAAGTATTAAAATGCAGACAAACAATTATTTTCTCAACGAGGACGTTTTTGTATTTGAATAGGAATTAATTACCATGTCCAGACCTGTATGTATAAAAACACCGACAAACAATTCCACGCAGTAAGTGCAAGAGGAAGATTAGACTTTGCCTGCAAAGCATCATATGCATGTAAAATGAGGCGAGCAATAACAATCGATTTAACGTACATTCTTAGAAATAGGGTAACGATTATAACCAAAAACGTATGTGACTCTACCGCCGTGGTTGCATTTGTCACCAACTTGTGATGAATTTATTAGCTCTGGTGACAATTAAATTCCAGGTCGGTGAGACTTACTCTGGGCCAGTAAATTCCTAAAAAGCTACGCAGGGTGAGCTAATAATTGGGGCAAAATAATACATTTAAAAGTGAGAAAATAAGTACATACATATGTACATACATATTTACAACCTTATCATGTTGTGCAAAAATTAATCCAGATCCCGTTTTGATCGTTTTCGTATAAGTATAGGTGGAAAAGATACAATATTGAACTCTAAATATGCATATGTATCTATGTAGCTGGAAAAAATTAAGAAATTAATAATAAATTAATTAAAAATTAAAATTAATTAATCTACATAGATACTTAAAAGTTATCCAAAACTGAAAATACGCATGCATTCAAGTTTAAGTAAGTTTAGCGTAAGGAAGGAAAAATTGTTCATATGTTGGCATTCGTTAGCGCAGTATTGCTTCTGAAACTCACAATTTTAAGAATTTTTGCAGTATGGTCCATCAGTTTAAGTATCTACTGGACTCAATGATTAACAAAAATCCTAATTCCATATCCTCCTATGTAAGCAATTTTATTTATGTATGTAGAAGCTTTTTCCTTTGCAAAAGTGTTTGCAAGTGTTAGCGAGCCATTTTTAATTCGCCCAGTTTATATATACATAAACCGCCCTAAAAACGGTTAGCCTACATATGTATTAGTATGTAGTTGGATGCCATGCAAATGTAGGTATAAGACTATTCTAGACATTATAATTATTATCTTAATGCTACTACAAATTATTTAACCGGTAGCTTGAACTAGGCCAGAATGTTTCTTCTCCCTTCCTTTATCAGAATCAGAGACATGGTCTGATTCAGGCAAAGATTTTGTATTACCAGTGGTGTCCTTCTGTCGATGAAATTCGTTCCAAGCTTGATTTTAACCAATCCACATGATGTCGGCTTACGTCGTACCACTGACCGCCTAAAATACTTCACTGTCGTCCTGTTCAGCTTCTGAAGTGATTTGACCGACGAATTGAACACCCATGATGCCAGTGTGAAAATGAGAATATTGTTTAGTATCGTGTCCACCAGAATTACGGGGAAGATGAGAAAGATCGGCATCGCAATTTCCCCATGCATAGTAATCACCACATATTGCACCCCAATTTGCAGCAGTGGGGCCCCACAAATGATGAAAGGTACGATCTTTTCCATAAGAAATGCATTCATCACTTTCTCGAGTAGTTGAATCATACGGTAATTCAGGAGGCACGATTCCTTCTCTGCAGTGGATTTGGCCTTCAATATTTTTCTTGAATATAAAAAACGGGATTTTAGTACCACGTCATAATAACATTGTTTAAAAAACGAAAAATATTAAAGGGTCCATCGAATTACGAAGGATTACGACCTATACCAAGATGTGCACACTGAGTATATGACTTAACGGCTTAAGGAATTTACGAGTGCAAACATATTTACATATGTCATTAACTCATGCATTTCGCACACCTTGCTACAGATTGAAACCCTTGTTCAAGACAGTTCGGAAGTTTTCATTGGGAGGCGTACGGAGGTATGCCCATAATGCAAATATTTTTCCGGTTACGGATCTTACGTATCGAGTAGCTGAATATAACTCAAGAGCGAGCTTATTCCGCCGCAAAAATTGTACGCCAAGGGTGCAGTTCCTATATAGAAGAAGCAAAAACCGATGTAGGTTTCCAGAAGGGGGATCAACATGGTGCACCAGTTCCACCGTATTTCCGAACAGCTGGTCGTCATTGACAGAATGAAGGGCGGAGTGCAAGGCTCAAATAGAATCAAGCCGAGGACTGCCAATGGGACCATGTAGTAGTTTTGTTTCAGTAGGTAGAAAAATGCAAGGGTTGCTTTGAGTTGTGTAGAGGTTTGCAGTTTCTGGACGCCTTTGAGAAAATAAATTTGTTTTTCTATTTTTTCCACCATAAGCTCAAATGTCGGGGCAACCTGAGACATTTGGCGCTATATGTGGAACATATAGTATGTTGTCAGGCACTCTTATGGGAAATGTCGGGGGCTCGTACAAAAAAACGGTTGGGCGTAAAGAGATGCCGTAAAGTGCATTAGATGCCTCTCGAAAAGTTTTAAAATGACTTTTTTCTAATTCATGGTATCTTGAACCATTTTCAAGAAATTCAATAAAAACCGATTTTTCGGTTTCGAAATCATAAATGTTTCGCTGAATGAATTGGGTGCATAACACAAAGTTGTATGTAATAGCAAATATGTTCATAACCGCATTATCTATAATATTTACTCGAAAATTTTTTCGAAATAATGCTAGGTACAGGCGGTAAGTTCAAATTTCCGAAAAATTTTGCAATTTCGGCTACCAATTTCTCCACTGAGCTACAGCCTAGACGATACATTTTGGTAACCTAAACTAAACGGGATCGTATTGGGGAAGGTCCCGGCTAGTGCCCTCGACTGATTGACTTTTTCGAAATAAGCCTTGGTTTTTAAGATATGGCGCGATTTCTAAAATTAAAATCCATAACTCATATTTGGTATGAAAAAATAGAAATTTTCAGCGGTTTTGCCGCATAGCTTGTATATAATATTCATCGAAATTGAGGATGACCACTTGAAAATGGTGGAATTAAGTAAAATTCTACAAAACAGAATTGAACCGACCTTCTAGAATATTAGACTCGTAATCCTAGCAGGTATTGATCATTTGAATTTGACCCTTGTCCAAATTATAATTCCAACAACAACCAATTAATATAATGACATTGCGCAGAAGACGAACCCTTGGCACTTCCTTGCTAGAGAATTGGGCGCAAAATATAGTGGAAATGAGACGCCCAGCGTATACGAAAGCATAACCAAATAGAGTAACTTCATCATTTTATCTCCAAATGGACTCCTGATGGAAATAAATCGTTGCAGTTCAGCATCGAAGTGGAATGGATAAGATCTAAAAATCCTTTGGCAATATTAGTAGTGTTCAACAACGAATGGGAAGAAGGTGGAACACATTTTTGTTTCTAAATATGTGTCGTGAGCTGAACTTTTGCAGCCTAATGTGACCGTTGAGATTTGTTGGGACTGGGTTTTGTTAGAATACATGCAGCTCGCAAGGAGCTATTGGTACTGGGTAGGAAGTGAGCCATTAAAGTGCTTTATATTATTTCGAATATAAAAAATTGGGGCAGGTGTTTAATTAGTATAGAGCACTCTTAGAAATCATATGTCGCCCGAATCACACTACCATGTCGATCGTATTTGTATATTTTGTAAGGTTTTAACTTGGTGAGTTACTTCTCAATCCATAAAGTATGTAACGAAGTAAAACTAATAGTTTTTATCACCCAGATTTCTGAACGTTTAATTTTACGAATACCAATTTTCATGACACATGGTGAAAAGCCCTCAACATCTACGTATGTGTGGCAGTAACTTTGAAGAATCCCATGCATGCATCTTCAATCATGGAAATAGTTGAGTTGTGATAAATCGTTGTTTCATGAATTTGAAAGCCACAGTTGCCGTGTAGGTATACGGAGAAATGCACCCGCTCAATCGCACCCGCTCCATCGCACCTGCTCAATCGCACCCCCTCAATCGCACCCCGGCACATTTTGCACCCCAGCCCGTTTGCACCCGCTCATTCGCACCCGCTCAATCGCACCCCTGCACATTTTGCACCCCAGCCCGTTTGCACCCCTTAATGAACCTATAAGTACAGCTTTTATTAGCCCGAACCAGGAATGTTTAGTAAACTAATGTCTGTCAGAATTTTTTATACACAAATTCGAAATTTAACCCTCCTAAGTTCTAATGCTAATCCTAAGTTATTTTTCGCCTCCATACTAAATTTCAGCTGAATATATAGGCCCTCCTCAGACACACGAAAAAATCATCGTTTCGAATTTCGCTTTGTTTTTCGCTTATCGATAGCATGGCAAAAAGTTCGTTCCAAATTGTGGAACGCACAAAATTCTTGTGGCAAAAATTTCGCTTATCGATAGCATGGCAAAAATTGTGAAAATTGCAAAATATTGTTCCGACTTCAGCTAAGCGACCTTAACCCCACTTCTGATTTGAGTTTCTGTTCGCTTACCACAGAGCTCGCTTATCAGGATGTAAGCGAAATTCGAAGCGACGATTTTTTCGTGTGTCTGAGAAGACCCATAAACTCATAAATCGGTATGGGTCACCGCGTAGTGCCCCTCTGGTAACTTTATGTTGATATTTGACTTCAAATTATTTCATGAGGAGTCCTTAAGTATCACCGTTCCGAATTTCAGCTGTTTGCGACAAGTTATGAAAATCGGTATGAGTCAGCCCAACGGGTCCCGGCATATGAAAATTTTAGTACATAATTTCACTTCATATTCTTCCATTAGGAGCCACTAGCACGCCCCATGCCAAATTTAAACTTTCTATCACAATTTTGAATTTTTGAACTCGGTCGTTGCATTGCCCAGATACGTCTACCAAGTTTGGCTCAAATCGGTCAACTCGTTCGAGAGTTATCGAAAGATAGACGGACAGGCGGATGGACATAACGATTACATAAGCCCTGGTTCGGGCTAAAAACTACAACAAAAGGAATAAGGTTCTATAAGTTGTAGTACCTAGTATCCAGTAACTATTCGTACGTTTAGATACGTTTGTTCCAATTTTTAAGGGGTGCAAACGAGCTGGGGTGCAAAATGTTCAGGGGTGCGATTGAGCGGGTGCGATGGAGCGGGTGCAAACGGGCTGGGGTGCAAAATGTGCCGGGGTGCGATTGAGCGGGTGCGATTGAGCGGGTGCGATGGAGCGGGTGCGATTGAGCGGGTGCGATGGAGCGGGTGCGATTGAGCGGGTGCATTTTTCCGCAATTCTTCTTTTTCACCCATGCTGTTCTCACCAACTTCCATTCAAAACTGAAGAAAGTCTAAAAGCTGAGACATAAGTTCTTGAGTGGAATTTAATGTCAACTGTATGGACACCTTGTCCAGTGGACAAGGTGGAGACGTTTTACTGTGAGATTTTATAGCGAGTAGGAGCAGAATGGTGGTCTCCCAGCGTTTGATCTCCGGTTTTGCCCTAAGCAGTGTTAGTCTCTCAGGAATTTATTTGCGAATATGAAATTTGCGAACGGCAGGATCTCCGAATGAGCACGTGATGATAATAGCTCGGCAGATAATATTTAGCAACCAAAGAGGAGAAAGTTAGCCCTAAAATCGAAACTATTAAATTTCCAAATTTACTACAGTTTCTCCTATTTGGGGTGATACATACATCCTTGCCAGACGTGCTCATTTGAAAATCGTGCTTTTTACAAATTTTATATTTTTTAAATTCCCAATCTATTTGCTTTGACTTATCTAAATTCGGAGAGCTTATATTTGTTGAGAGGTTTACATTCTTACTCACAAGGGACACTCACGACCTGTCGTTTGAGTCCAGTGTACCCACTATGATTTTTAGAATCTACTAAGACCCCAAATGAAGGATTCATTCATATTTCCGTGTTAAACTCATATTTGGCGTCGTGCCGTGGCGCCAAATTCGCCAAATTTGAATGTTTTTATTTTTGAAAACGCCATACCTTTTGAAATACTGGACGGAGTTACAAACTTTTTTTTACAAAAATCATGACAAGGAGTTCAACTTTCGTGTCCCATGAATTTTTTTTTAATAATCGCTTTTAACTTTTCGCAAAATTTCATAATTTTCCTGGAAATGGGGTTTCGTCGAAAAAATGTTAAAATTATTTCACAAATTAGAAATTTTTTATTTTTACTTTTTCCTCAAAAATTTCAACTTTTGTGATGATTTTAAGAATAAAATTTTGAAAATCCGACATAAACTGCATAAGATATGGGGGTTAAAAATTGGTCAAAAATGCAAATTTTTAAGTTTGGCGATGGCGCCAAATATGAGTTCTGCACGGAAATATGAATGGATCCTTCATCCGGGGTCCTAGTAGACTCTAAAAAACATAGTGGGTACCCTGTACTCAAACGACAGGTCGTGAGTGTCCCTTGTCAGACAGAACATACTTTTGTATTATGTAGGATTGAGTCAAACCAACATTTTGAGAAACACGACCGGATCGGGTCACTAATTGTCAAAAAACCCATGTCCGACTCAACTCTGCAACACAATAACTTACTTTGGCCAGTTTAATATTAGTCCGGCTTCCAAAATTTCCACAAATTGTTTACATTGCGTCGCGAGACGTTCCAGATTTGGGAATGAGGTCGTAACAGCTTGCAAAATTCGGGGAACAGCACCCTCCTTATGGTGAATATCTACCCTCAATTTCCTCAATTTTGGGAACACGCTCCCCTCAAAGGAGGGGAAATCCAGGGCAACACGCTTGTTCAAGTTCCCACGGATAGAAACAAATTCCAATTCCTGCAAAGTCGTGGACGCCGCCTGGACAAATTTTGTGGCGAGTTCGTGCTGCCAACGGAACTGATCTCCGGCCGGAAACTCGACAAAGATCGATTTCAAATTGTTGGTTTGGGGAAATATTGAGAAATCCGGGCATTCCGCCAGACGGTTGTCGGGATTGGACGGGATCTGTAGGGTGGCTTTGGTAGGGCAGAATTTCAGCTTTTCGACAGCCCCCGAAATATTCCAGGTTTCCAGTGCCCCTCCCGGAAACGGGTCCTTCTTCCCGTAATCTCCTGGCGACAGGAGAAGCGCCATACTTGTCCGCGTTTTTAGAACTGGGGTGGCTCCGTAATTCCAATAGGAGGAGACCAATCGGCACGTTTTTATGTCCTTGGTACACAAATAGCTGGACAAGTGACCAATTATCTGCAAATAAATTTTTTTAATTTTTTCATTTTTTTTGAAAATTATTTTTAAAAGTAGAAGCTTCAAAATTTTACATCGTGATTGAGAAAGGACTCCGTCTCGGAGTCGTCATCTTTTCCCGTGAACGTAGCCATCATGAAATTTATTTCTTTAAAAAAATATCGCATACATTATTCATACATTGCGGTGTAAATTGCTGTATTTTGAGTTTTTAAAAATCTTTTTTCGGAACTCATCGATATGAATGCCAAATTATTTATTTACCGACTGTTTTACGTTTAAAAGAAGGTTTCGTAGTGTTAACAAAATTTCCAATTTGCAATGCTTCGACTAATGAAATCATTTGAATATTACTTTTCATAAACAAATCGGTCATTTCAAATTACTCATTTGTGATAATTTTAATCAATTTTTAACTTTAACATTTGCCATAATTCCATTTCTGGACAACAATATGACTTTTTTTAAATTATGACTATTCTGCTTTATTTTCACAAAATTAGCAACCATACCTTTTCACATTCTAAACACCTTTCAATATTTAATTTTTTTTAAATGTTGAAAATTCTAAAAATTTTCAAATAACTTACCCCCACGAATGGGCCCTTGTCAGCCTGTGAGGAAAGCAGTAACAAGTTACGACTTTACTTTAATTACAACTTTCAATTAAGTCTATTACGATGTCTAATTAATCCGTGAAATTATTTATTGTTTATGTCTCCGGCACAGTCTGTTGCAGGGGGTATAGTCTCTTATTCTGAAATGGAACGTTCAAAGTGGACGTGCCAAAAAGGGGGAAAATGTGACCCAATTTTTTTTATTGCAAATTTTATGGCGAAATGGTGTAAAACGGTGTCTTGGCTTATCAAAGCATATTTTTATGCTTATCAATGCTTAGCAAAATATCTCAATCCGAGTAAAATTGAAGATCTGAACTTATCTGTTAATACAGGTTAACACACGAAATATTTGAATACACGAATATTTGAACACACGAATATTTGAAAATGAATGCTCCCATCGCTTTTCTTGTTGGCTATCTGGTTATCCATTAAATATACAGAGTATGATTTACCTCATAAAATAGCAATTCAATTTTTATTTAGCGAACTAAGGATTTTACAATTCATATTTTTTAAACAAAATTACCTTTTGTAGTTATTTTTATTACTAGATGACCCCCAAGAAAAACGATGGGAGCATTCATTTTAAATATTTCGTGTGTTAACACAGATAAGTTCAGATTTTCAATTTTACTCGGATTGAGGTATTTTGCTAAGCATTGATAAGCATAAAAATATGCTTTGACAAGCCAAGACACCGTTTTACGCCATTTCGCCAGAAAATCTATATTATAATTTCGAAAAGTCCGTCCCGTGAAATTTTCCGTGACATTCCTGCATTCTGATTGGCTGTTGGCTTCCTGGGTCTACCAATAACATTACAACATATGCTACAACATCTGCTCCAACATCTGCTCCAACATCTGCTACAACATCTGCTCCAACATCTGCTCCAACATCTGCTCCAACATCTGCTACAACATCTGCTCCAACATCTGCTCCAACATCTGCTACAACATCTGCTCCAACATCTGCTCCAACATCTGCTCCAACATCTGCTACAACATCTGCTACAACATCTGCTCCAACATCTGCTACAACATCTGCTACAACATCTGCTCCAACATCTGCTCCAACATCTGCTCCAACATCTGCTACAACATCTGCTACAACATCTGCTCCAACATCTGCTCCAACATCTGCTCCAACATCTGCTACAACATCTGCTACAACATCTGCTCCAACATCTGCTCCAACATCTGCTACAACATCTGCTCCAACATCTGCTCCAACATCTGCTCCAACATCTGCTACAACATCTGCTACAACATCTGCTCCAACATCTGCTCCAACATCTGCTACAACATCTGCTCCAACATCTGCTCCAACATCTGCTCCAACATCTGCTACAACATCTGCTACAACATCTGCTCCAACATCTGCTACAACATCTGCTACAACATCTGCTCCAACATCTGCTCCAACATCTGCTACAACATCTGCTACAACATCTGCTCCAACATCTGCTACAACATCTGCTCCAACATCTGCTACAACATCTGCTACAACATCTGCTCCAACATCTGCTCCAACATCTGCTCCAACATCTGCTCCAACATCTGCTACAACATCTGCTACAACATCTGCTCCAACATCTGCTCCAACATCTGCTCCAACATCTGCTACAACATCTGCTACAACATCTGCTCCAACATCTGCTACAACATCTGCTCCAACATCTGCTCCAACATCTGCTCCAACATCTGCTACAACATTTGCTACAACATCTGCTACATCATCTGGGGGCTATTGCACCAAACACTTTGCAATCTACACTTTTCATTTTCAAAATTTGAAAAGTGTAAAGTAATCGCGTTTCATCAACGATCTTAACTTTTCACTTTTCACTTTACAAAAATGTGAAAAGTTGAAAAGTGAGTACTGCAATGCGTTTCACCATCTTTTGCTCCTCTGCACTTTTCACACTACACTTTTCAGCTTGACCCTTTCAGTTTCCTCCTAGATTTTCTATGTAAAAAATAACTTGAATGCATTCAACAGCCTCGTAATTTGTAAACAGTCGGTGGTCATTTTTTAAATCTTGGATGATGATTCGTAGTTGCGGGTATCGAAATAATGGTGAGTAATTAATTTATAAAATATTAAATACGTATTGTAATACAATGTAATTAATTTTTAGGCCACCCAAGTTAAATCAGAGTCAAAATTAGCCTTGCTGGCCTTCATTAAAGAGAAAAAGGACGTGCTTTTTGGAAAATTCACTTCCGAGCTTGACAAAAACCGCAAAACGTCGGCCTGGAAGGATGCCCTGATTAAGGCACAATCATTGCAAATCGTAGCAAGTACTAGAGACTGGACATATTTACGGGATAACGTCTTTGGCGTGTGGAAAACTAGAGCCATGGTTAGAATTGTTGTCGATATGCATACACACACGCATACAAATATATATAATTTACATACATAGTTATTAATCAATCGATTCGTTATTATTTAGGCAAAGAAGGACAATCGCAAAAAGACAGGATCTGAGGGAGGAAAGGACAGAAAACTGACTGAGGTTGACAATGCCGTGCTTGACATAGTGGGGAGGGATTCGCCAGTGATGGAAGGATTACCTATTGGAGAGACCGGAAACTTTGTCCCAACAGAAATATACGATTCTCAAATCTCGAACCCTGATATTGCTGCCGATCAATTGGAGTTATCGACTCCAGCCGCCCAGTTGTCCCGCAAATCTCGCCAGCTTAAGCGAAAATCAGACACTGCTAAACAAATACTAGTAGCGCAGAAGGAAGCAAAATTGGAACTTATGAAACTACAAATTTATAAGACTAAATTAGAGGCATTAAAACTTGAGAGGGAGTTAAATCTACCGCGATCAGGCTTCACAAAAGAATTTGAACCTCCTTACATTGTTGAAATAGAGTTGGACAGATTTACTCCAGTCTAAGCGAATTGAATAAGTTCACTAATTAGAAATTCAAATTATATTTTTTGTTAAGCAGATTTAAAACTTAGGTTGGTAGCACAGACGGCAATGAAATTTTATACTAATTTTTTGTTTAAATGTTATATAACTAAAATAAAATTTTGAAACTGTTTTACGTAAAGAATTGCATGAGGTCATTAATTCGTCGTTCTGATGAGACGCTCACTCCAGGAAATCCTATGTCAATGTCTTCTGCGTGCCCATTATCTGCGTGCCCATTATCTTCGAAATCTTCGTTTGCTGCAATGTTGTGTAACGTAGCGCAGGCCATGATGATTTTACCTGCGAATACAGGATTAACACGTAAGTATCGCAGACAAGGAAATCTTGCTTTCATCACTCCGTATGCATTCTCTATAATTCGCCGGGTTGACTTTTGCGCGGCATTGAATCGTTGCTCCAAGACATCATTGGGATTCCGATGGATTGGCCTAATTAACCAATCACGAAGACCGTAAGCAGAATCACCTAAGATCAAAATATGGTTTGAAAATGTAGTTCTTAAAAATACCTCTGCAAAAATTATTTTCCTCGTTTTAGGCCTTTTACGATGGCCTTATAGATTTGTTAGGATGTCTGTCTGTCCGTCCGTCTGTTTGTACGTACGATAACTCTCTTTAAACATATTCTATCGACTTGAAATTTTCTACAATTGATCTTCGGGTCAAAGGTAAGGATGAGTTCGAAGATGGGCATGATCGGTCAAGTGGTTGGCCGGTGGGGGTCATTTCCCCACAAATGTGTTGCCATTAGCTACCAAGATGCCATCTTAAAAGGCCCGCAAAGTTGCTTGGAGTAAGTTTTTTAAAAGCATCCAAACCTACCTAAAATAATTGCATCATCGAAAGGTCTCCACCCACTCTCAAATTTTCTGTAGATTGTGGAGTTTTGCATCACTCGTGAGTCATGGACTGATCCAGGCCATCTCGCACTAACGAAATAAAAGCTTAAGTCCGGGCCGCAGACCATTAAGACGTTGATAGAGTGGTTCCCTTCGCGGTCCACATAAGCAGCTTCGTTGTGTGACGGCGCAATTATATTTATTAAGGTTCCATCTGCACATCCCGCTACACAAGGGAACCCGCCTTTTCTCATAAATTTATAAGCCAAATCGCTAGTTTCATCCGGAAAACGAACAATTTCTTGAAACAGTAGATCCACTATTGCATTGACGACACGTTTCAAAGATCGGCAAACAGTAGACTTTGAAACACCATGCATATCCCCGATTCCGTGGTATTGAGAACCATTCCCTAGCCAATGTAGGGCAACGAGTAGTTGTTGACGAGGTGTAAGGGCCATATTTTTATTGCTGTCGATAAGTCTTGGTGCTAGTCGCGTGACGACAAATTCAGCTTCATTTGGGCGAAGGCGGAAACGTTCTTTGAATTCCATAACACAAAAACTGTCAAAGTTTATCCTGGGACGGAAAACTCTTTGCCGACAAACTAATCCTTCCTCGCCCTCGTCATCAGAGGTGTCCAATAAATCGTCAACATCCATCTGAAATACAAATAATTTTAAATTGTGTTACAATTTGACATACATATGTACACACAACACACATACTAAGTATATCCAAATGGGTACTTACCACAAATTTGTCATTTGTCGTCAGTTTTATTGTTTTCGACGAACTTGACCACTCAATTGTAATTTGCAGGGTGGGGGGGACACCCTACCACTTATTTTGCAAAGTGCAAAGATTTTTAGAAATATTTTTTTTGGTGAAACGCAATAGAACTTTTCATCAACAAAAATCGACCAAATTGAACTTTTCAAAAATCGCTCTGCACTCTTCACTTTTCACACTGCAACTCGGATTTGGTGAAACACAATCTTTTCAAAAAAAGCTTGAAAATGAAAAGTGTAGGGTGCAAAGTGTCTGGTGCAACGGCCCCCTGCTCCAACATCTGCTCCAACATCTGCTACAACATCTGCTACAACATCTGCTACAACATCTGCTACAACATCTGCTACAACATCTGCGACAACATATGTTGCAACATCTGCTAAACCTTCTGCTACAACATCTTCTACAACATCTGCTACAACATCTGCTACATCTGCTACAACATCTGTGACAACATATGTTGCAACTTCTGTTACAACTTCTGTTACAACTTCTGTTACACAAAAAACAAAAAATATTCCATAGCAACTTATCGTATACAACTTAACTAATAATAATATAATACTATATAATATAATACTTATACTTATACAACTTATAATTTCCTTAGCAACACAAAAAAATTTCCTTAGCAACATAAAAAAATTTCCTTGGCAACATACAAAAATTTCCTTAGCAACATAAAAAAAATTCCTCAGCAACATAAAAAAATTTCCTTAGCAACATAAAAAAATCTTTAGCAATATAGAAAAATTTCCTTAGCATCGTGAAAAAATTCCTTAGCAACATAAAAAAAATTCCTTAGCAATGTAAAAAAAATTCCGTAGCAACATAAAAAAGAATCCTTAGCAACACAAAAAAATTTCCTTAGCAACAAAAAAATTTCCTTAGCAACGTAAAAAAAATTCCTTAGCAACATAAAAAAATTTCCTTAGCAACATAAAAAAATTTCCTTCGCAACGTAAAAAAAATTCCTTAGCAACGTAAAAAAATTTCCTTATTTTCTTAGCAACGTAAAAAAGTTCCTTAGCAACATAAAAAAAATTCCTTAGCAATGTAAAAAAAAATCCGTAGCAACATAAAAAAGAATCCTTAGCAACACAAAAAAATACCCTTAGCAACACAAAAAAATTTCCTTAGCGACGAAAAAAAATTCCTTAGCAACATAAGAAAATCCCTTAGCAACGCAAAAAAAATCCTTAGCAACATAGAAAAATTTCCTTAGCAACACAAAAAAATTTCCCTAGCAACGTAAAAAAAGTTCCTTAGCAACATAAAAAAAATCCTCAGCAACATAAACAAACTTCCTTAGCAACACAAAAAAAATTCCTTAGCAACATAAAAAAATTTCCTTAGCAACACAAAAAAATTTCCTTAGTAACATAAAAAAATTTCCTTAGCAACATACAAAAATTTCTTTAGCAACACAAAAAAATTTCCTTAGCAACATAAAAAAATTTCCTTGGCAACATACAAAAATTTCCTTAGCAACACAAAAAAATTTCCTTAGCAACCTAAAAAAATCCCTTAGCAAAATAAAAAAAATTCCTTAGCAATACAAAAAAATTTCCTTAGAAACAAAAAAATTTCCTTAGCAACATAAAAAAATTTCCTTAGCAACACAAAAAAATTTCCTTAGCAACGTGAAAACATTCCTTAGCAACATAAAAAAATTACTTAGCAACGTGAAAAATTTCCTTAGCAACGTAAAAAATTCCTTAGCAATGAAAAAAAATTTCCGTAGCAACATAAAAAAGAATCCTTAGCAACACAAAAAAATTTCCTTAGCAACACAAAAAAATTTCCCTAGCAACGTAAAAAAAGTTCCTTAGCAACATAAACAAACTTCCTTAGCAACACAAAAAAAATTCCTTAGCAACATAAAAAAATTTCCTTAGCAACACAAAAAAAATTCCTTAGTAACATAAAAAAATTTCCTTAGCAACATACAAAAATTTCTTTAGCAACACAAAAAAATTTCCTTAGCAACATACAAAAATTTTCTTAGCAACACAAAAAAATTTCCTTAGCAACCTAAAAAAATCCCTTAGCAAAATAAAAAAAATTCCTTAGCAATACAAAAAAATTTCCTTAGAAACAAAAAAATTTCCTTAGCAACGTAAAAAATTCCTTAGCAATGAAAAAAAATTTCCGTAGCAACATAAAAAAGAATCCTTAGCAACACAAAAAATTTCCTTAGCAACATAAAAAAATTTCCTTAGCAACATACAAAAATTTCCTTAGCAACACAAAAAATTTTCCTTAGCAACGTAAAAAAATCCCTTAGCAAAATAAAAAAAATTCCTTAGCAATACAAAAAAATTTCCTTAGAAACAAAAAAATTTCCTTAGCAACATAAAAAAATTTCCTTAGCAACACAAAAAAATTTCCTTAGCAACGTAAAAAAATTCCTTAGCAATGTAAAAAAATTTCCGTAGCAACATAAAAAAGAATGCTTAGCAACACAAAAAAATTTCCTTAGCGACGTAAAAAAATTTCCTTAGCAACATACAAAAATTTCCTTAGCAACACAAAAAAATTTCCTTAGCAACATAAAAAAGTTCGTTAGCAACGTCAAGAAAATTCTTTAGCAAGTACAAAAAAATCTTTGACCGGTCAAAAAAAATTTTTAGCAACGTTATAAAATTTCATGCGGCCCGTCTTTAGGACGGGCTTATAGGCTAGTTCGCAATAAAAAAAATTGGGTCACATTTTCCCCCTTTTTTTCACGTCCACTTTGAACGTTCCATTTCGGAATAAGAGACCCTACGCCATGCAACTGCTCCGGCAGAAAACAGGTGGATGTGACGTCGATCAATATTTCTTCCGAAAGAGCCATCACTTTGTTCCTCGAGTCTCCTTCATGGAGTTTTTCATGCAAAATTGTAAATATGCGATGATCAGACGTCCCATATGAATGATGGTTAAACCTCAAAATATGAATGAAAAATTACCGTAAAATTCCTCAAAATATGACCACAAAAATGACTTTATTTTTGTAATTTTTGCTTTGTGATAGACTATTTTTCATCAAAATACAGGTTCTGGGATGATTTAACAATGAATTAAATCACCTAAGACGAAAGTGAATATAAATTCACATATATTTCAAAAATTTCTCACCATGAACAATTAAAAAAAATTAATTTAGACAATTAATATTAGTCAATTAATATAGTCATTTTCTGGCAATTTGGCATGCAAAATCTTAGAATTTGGCCAAAAGTCTTACAATGAGCGAAAAACGCCCGAATATGATCGAGAATATGAATATGTCCCAAAACCCGAAAATATGACCAATATGAGAAAATATACTTTGACCTACGTGACCTACTAGTGACCGTGAACATTCCCAGAAAGTTTGGGGACTGTAGATCAATAAATGGAAAAAGTCATTTTTCATTCATATCCGACCTATGGTGATGATTAATCAATGAGTGATGATTAATTACTATTTAGTTACTAATGAACTGAAAAAGAGTAATGCATATACAAACAAAAAAATATCCATTAAACCTGAAATGTATACCCCTGCAAACACCGCTGACTGTGATTGACTATAGCAGCAAGGGAATAAAATCTGCCTATATTCATGCAATTCTGGATAATACGGTAAATGCTTACATGTGGGCCACAAAACAGGATCCAGGCAAGAACTCCAAACACTTTATAGTTTGATCTGTTTTCCAAATTTATGCCTTCACTACAGAATTTCAACTTTTTCAACAATTTAAACTTCAATGGGGTAGCCACGGTGCTCGTTTTTTAATTCAAATCCTCATATCTCCTACCAATGATAATCTTGAAGCCAAAACGGGCAGACTTTCATACATAAGATTCGGGCTTAAAATTTCATATTAGTCTGATACCCACCAATCGCAACAAAATGCGAGAAATTTTTTGAATTTCACAATTATAATATTATAATTTTTAAACTTGACATTCCTATATTCTAATCGATTGTCGGCTAGATGAATCCGCCACACAAATCCATGCTAGATGACAGCACGGATATGGTTTTGATTTCAATTATGATTTCCTAAGAAATATTAAAAACATTCCTTAGCAACGTTAAAAAATTCGCTATTAACCTAAAAAAACTGCTTAGCAACTGCTAAAAAATCCCTGGAAACCTTAAAATATTTTTTCATTAAGTATGAATGCAAAATAAATTTGCAAATCCAGGCATAAACTGTTTTTATATAATTATCGAATCATTTATAATGGTAACTTACCACAATTGTAAACTTTTTATCACGACCAATAAATCGGGCCAAGGTACTGACTTAATTTAATAATTGGCATATGCTAATGTACAATTTTACATGCGACCATCTAGAACACGTGCTTTAATAGGTTACGTCGTAATACAAATGAACAAATTTTTATTTCGGAGAGCTGTTCTCATGCTCATTTTTTTATTGGATTAAAATAATTTTTGAGAATGGGTAAATCATATGGCCATAGCGGAACAGCTGAAAGACATTCGAGGAGTTATTTTAACATTGAATATTGCAAGGTCAAAAATTGTATATACAATGACACCACACATATGTATACTAATCTCTATGTGTGTGGCCTACGCAAACAAAATATTTAAAGAATATATATATTTAATATATATATATAATATAATATATATTATATAATATATATATATAATATATATAATATATATATATATATATATTTAAAGACAATTGTTGTATTTACGTTCTTAAAATTTCAGAAATAATTTCATAAACCAAATTGATTGATTACTCAATTTATTCGAGACAAACGATCTTCAGCACTTTAATATTAATGCCCAAGTCTAAAATTCATTTCTATTAGAATGTCCTTCCCACTGATACAGTTTTAACTAACTGTTACACGATTTTGCATTAGGAAACATATCCAAAAGCCTTTGGAACATAATATGCTTAGTCTTTCCCCCTTCTTCAGGAATTCTGACACGAACTTTCCTCACAGACTGGACAAGTTGACGATTACTTGTCGAAGGTAGAAATGACTCCAGCCAGGCCTCCTTCCCCTTCAGGATCGTCACGTCAAAGACTTCCAACACTGGGAAACCTACGTGGTAATTAATCCCCCCAAAATTTCCAGATCCTGGCCCCGTTTCGAATCCAATTTCCGTCTTTTTAGAATTGTAGTGGACGTAAAGACTTTTCAAGACGGGAAATACGGGAAATTTCCATTCCACATTTTTCATTGTTCCCGACCAGACCACGCCGACCTCCAGATTTTCCAAAGTGGGGGCCTGCTTCTGTAAGAATTTGTAAAAAATCGTTTCCACGTCGTCGGCAAAATCGCAAATGTCAACCCAAACTTCGACAATTTTATCCCCGAAGGAAAGCTTTTTCAAACCGGGGGGAATTTTGAGGAGAGATTCCATCCCGTCCGTCGTAAGTTCTCCATATAATCCCAAGTTCTTCAGGGACCTGAAGAAAAGTTAATTGATAATTTACTCATGTTATTCGTATAAAATCTCAGAGTAAAAAGGTCTAAACCTGGTCGATACGGTTATTCAAATTCCTATTCCATTGAAAGCTTAATAAGGTCAAAAACTTGCCACGAAAATTTGTTAATGGAACCTGGTGCTAACTGCATGGACCAGGTGGGGATCTTTTTATGCTCTCTGAGATTTTACAGCCAACGGTCCTCCAGCGTACGCACTCATATTTTGCCTAAATCTGTATCAGTAGATCACGAATTTAACTTGAAATAGTCGAAAGGCAGGATCCCCCAATAGGTACGTGTGGTAAAGACATTTGACTCCGAGGAGGAGAAAGTTGGTCATAAAATCAACAACTGTTACGCTTTCCAAATTTTCTGCGAATTCTCTCCTCGTGGGATGCAAACGCCTTTGCCAAATGACCCCAGTCATCCAAATTTCATATTTTTAGATTCAGGATCGACTGACACGAATTTACTTAAAATCGGAGAGGCTTTCATACATTCTTAATCAAAACGTTTTTTCAACCTTGCATTGAGCCGGACCAACCTTTCTAGGAAACCCGATCGGATCGGGTCACGAACTGTCACCAAACGGATGTTAGACTCAACTCTCAATCACAATATGCAACTTACTCTGGCCAATTGAATATTAGTCCGGCTTCCAAAATTCCAACAAATTGTTCACATTCGGTCACGAAATGTTCCAGATTCGGGAATGATGTCGTAATAGCCTCCACAATTCGGGGAACAGGACCCTCTCCAAGGTCAATATCTACCCTCAATTTCCTCAATTTCGGAAACAAGCTCCCCCCAAAGGAAGGGAAGTCCAGGGCAACGGGCATGTTCAAGTCCCCTCGAACAGAAACAAATTCTAACTCCTGTAAGTTCGTGGACGCCGACTGGACAAATTTTGTGGCGAGTTCGTGCTGCCAACGGAACTGATCTCCGGCCGGAAACTCAACAGAAATCGATTTCAAATTGTTGGTTTGTGGAAATACTGAGAAATCCGGGAATTCTGCCAGACGGTTGTCCGAGTTGGATGGGATCAACAGAGTGACTTGGGTGGGGCAGAATTTCAGCTTTTCGACAACCCCCAAAATGTTCCAGGTTTCCAGTGCTCCTTCCGGAAACGGGTCGTCATTTCCGTAATCTCCCGGCGAAAGGAGAAGCGCGATACTGGTCCGCGTTTTTAGAACCGGGGTAGCCCCGTAATTCCAATAGGAGGAGACCAGTCGGCACGTTTTGATGTCCTTTGTGCACAAATAGCTGCACAAGTGACCAATTATCTGTAAATTTGGATAAAATCAAGGGTAAAAAACTGCAAAGTATTTTTTAAAAGTAGAAAATTGAAACTTTTACATCGTGGTTAAGAGACATCTCGTAATCGGAATCCTTTCCCCGAGCAGTCATCATGCAATTTCTTTAAAAAAAATAATCATATGCAGTTTAAAGTAAGTTAAGTATTTATTTGGCATTTGTTTTAAGAAACCGTAGTTCAGAATTTCTTGATGTAAAATTTAAATTGTAAATTTGTTTGATTTATTGGCTATTCTAATAAAAGAAGACTTCGTAGTCTTTAAAAATTTCTGATTTTGTAAAGATTACTGATTGTATATTATAACGCTACACAGGTAGTGTCGAAAATGTCTGATGTGTCCTAAATTATGATAGTTGACAATTTGTGAACTTGACAATCGTAACGATTTGAAATGTGGAAAAAATTATCAATTCAATTTTAAATTGATCATTTTCACATTTGCCATATTTATCATGCATTTCCATCAAAATATGTATAGTAATTCCATTTTACAAAAATATGAAAATTTAAATATACAAGTAATATTAACAGTGTGCTCATTTCACAAATTATCATCCATTTTGACAATTCAAAACCATTGAATAATTCAATTTGAATTATTTAATGTTTTAAATATGTTAAACTCATTATATATTTATTTAATTAGATGCATACGTACCTCCAACCAAAAGGGTCCCCTTTTCGACCTATTAGTACAGCTACAAAAATTGAGGTTTCCTTTTAATTGCTACTTGCAATCAATTTTAGTGCGGTGTTTAACTAATTTGTATTTATTGATTCTTTATCTTATTTCTCAACATGTGGACGTGACGTCGGTCCAAATTTCTCCCGCAAGAGCCACCATCACCACCACCACCACCACCACCACTTTGTTTCCTCGAGTCCTTTTCATGAACTTTCTCATGAAAAATTGATGTTGATAATTTTAAGAAATGCCTATGTGCTCCAAACAATGTTGATGTTTGCTTTGTTCATTTTTTATTGTGTGAGTTGAAATGTTTTTGCATCAAAAATTAAACTGTGTGCGCCTAAAATAATGAGTTAAGTCAAAACACATTTCATTGCATAACGACGAATATTGTAATAGCAAAATAGTCACATTGACTAAAAATGTATAATGACTACTTTTCAATGACTACAAATAAACATCCAACTGCGTGACCACTTCGTCGAAAACTTATTTATGAAGCATAAAAGTAATCCGCTCATAAAGGTTAAGTTAAATAAACTTAATAATAGCGTGACAAGCTGCTCAAAATTTTCGAGGGACAAAATTCATGGGTTATGAAACCCAACCAATTGTGTATTTACATATGTGTATATGCAATTTGCATAATGCAAATACGTACGTGCATAATAAGTTTTAACCTTTTGCCTCTTTCTATTGACAGAAATTTATGCAAAATTATATAAAAGCGAATACACAATCTGTAAATCTGGCAATTCATGGCACGATGTTATTCAAAAATCCTTAAATATTAGGCAGTTTATAAACCCTCTGCTCTGCAGTTCCGATCCGAAACCTATCAGTGCGCGTCAGTGATCTCACAGAATGCAATTCAAGTCCAAAATATCCGTAATGCGGATAGTAACAGATTTCCAGCCGTTAATTTTTGCAGTGGGTCTGATCCTAATAATTTCAGGTGCTGCAGCAACTAAAAAATGTAACTTATTTAAGCGTAGTAAGCCTACACTCTTAGAAATTCGGTTACAAAATAATGCGGAGGAGGATTCATAGGCGAAGGTACAAAAATTGTCTTTTTAAACTTACCTATTTAGAATACGGTAAGAAATGTGAACCTCCAACCGATCCGTGTCGACATGATCTGCCGTAATGGAACCTGTCGGTGTGCAGATGAACACTATTTTAGTTCAAGCTCTTCGTCCGAAGGCTGTTTTGGTGAATTATTGTCGTTTGTTAAACCTGATACACCCTAATGTGCAAATGCAGTATCTTATATGTTTCAGCCTATACCCAGATTCAGCGCATTGTCACGATTGAGGTATGTAATTTTGAGCAATCCATCGATAGTTCCCTACGTGAACAAAGCCTTATTCGAAGTTAGGCTGATCAAATAACCTAAATCGACTTACAATGCGATGACGCCAGCGGTCTCGCTCCGATTTTGATGGCAAACCTGGCCGACCATTTGTATTTTTCACTCAAAATAAAAGAAAGATAAATTTCACGAGAAAATGCAAATTTTCTAGTAACGTTTATCATCATATCTTCGTTTAAAGTTTAAACTGAGCATTATGAAAAATCTTGAAGCACGTGTTCCATTATTTATCGCGGCTTCACCAAGATCGGAGCGAGACCGCTGGCGTAATCGCATTGTTAATGATGTGCCGTAGTACAGAAAATTCTTGTCGGACATGTGATAAATGTCATGTCATGTCGTATCTTGTCATATCTGGTGATTGTAGAAAGTCCGACAAATACGAATTGTACACTTGTCCAGTGTCAAAATTATTTGTCATGATATTTCACAACGCATAATTAAACGTTACCCGTAGGACCATCCTTGGGTGATTGTAAACGAGTCTTAAGTCCTCTCCTCACAAGCCATTACTCCAGCGTTTTCCTGCCGACACACAACCTGCTACACCGGCTTCCTCATCGATATTCTTCACAAAATCGATATGAGAATTAAAAACCTGGACAACTGCACTATTCAAGGCGTAGAAATGTTCGGCAATCTATCACAGACTGGTCAACCTTTATCTAAAAAGGACCTTGCTGGTGTAATCTTGCGCGGGGTAATTCAAGTATTGTAGTTCACGCACAGCATGAATTCACAACTTGCAAACCCTTAATGTATCCCTTCTAGGAGGCAGATCTTGCTTTGGCAGCGTTTGAGGATAGAAGCACAAAAATGGCTGCTTTCCCCTTCATTTATAGACACAATGGGACGCAATTTTATTCCTTTAGTCTTGGCTTACCAAAATCTTCGACGGCTGTTTCGCAATTTTTGTTGGGGTAAGGATTACTATTTGCATATCGTCGATATAATCTATTCTTTGATGTTTTATGGGCGAAGTACGGCCTATTTTTAAAAGTTTACCTTTCATTGTGAATTTTATCAGTCCATGAAATTAATATTCTTTCGAAATTTTATAATACAATTCTACTTATGTGCAACCGACATTGTCATTCTAAAAATATCCAAGAAGTACTTAAATACGTTGTCTGCCGAATTTTGTTCAATTCTGCAATTAAAAAAGGGATCAGTCGCAATCCACCCCAACAGCTTAACCTACGTAAGTAAATATAACATTGTTTTCAATTATATTTCAGATTTCATCAGGTTCGCCACGATAAATATATGTCCGCCTTGTTGGAAAAATGGTTTGTAGTGGGTACCCCCTTGTGGACGAAGGAGAAACAAATCACTAACTTTACGCCAGAGTATGAGTGCCTTTATAAATAATATGTGTAGGTCCATGTTCATGTCAAAGTGTTACAAAAAATGTCAAAAGGATTCACATATGTACAATTTTCATTGGCAATTTACGATGTTGTACATATTTGATATGAATAAATGGTTTAAATAGGTTTCGATTGATTAAGTTTTTACGGATTCATAAGGCTTTAAAATTAGTTTGAGTGTCAGTCAATTTGTTCATAAATGTTAAACTCAACTCATTCAAAAGATAAATCATCAGATAAATCTAATGATGAATTTTTCAATGTTAAAAATCATACAATGTCTATTCATACAAAAATATTCATGTATCCCTTCGTGCATCGCTTATTCATCACAAGTTTTATTTGGTATGCGTTTTAGATGTGAGCAGCCTATAAAATGTTGCGTTAGGTAAGTACATATAAAGCTCACATTTTCACGTAATAGCATGCCTCACAACAATGTAACATTTCCAAAATAATCTACATACATGAAAATCTAAAAAATAAACCCTCGAAACGAATGTAAATAAGTAGCGTCAGAGCGATTCCAGTTCCCTTTAACGTTTCTCCGTATTTGACTTCGTCGCCAAGGTCATTAGGTCAAAAATACTATCGTCTTGAAATTCGCGGTGGAATTTCCTGTAAAATGACACCCCCCATGAGAATTAAGGTTAAATTTAATTTTGGACCACACCCCCTGACGCAGTGGGGTGTGGTCCGATTGACCCCATTTTCGAACTCGACCGAGAACTAAAAATTAGCTACCCAATGTCGAAAACGGGGTTATGTTGACTCGTTCTGGAGATATCCTGCTTACGGACGGACAGACGGACAAAACGATCACAATAAGTATCTGGCGCTACTTAATAATTATAATTTACTCAAAGCGAATATTAAATTACAATGTTAGGAAAATGTTGCAGCCTTTCATTCATTGACGTAATAAAATGTATCCTTCTATTTCGAGCATAACTTATTACTCGGATTTATGCACACACATATGTAAATACATAGGTATGTAAATTCTAAACTTCCATTTCTAAAATGAGATTATTGCGTACATATTTCACTTCGTTTCTGCGTAAAAAAACGAAACTTAGCCAATATTTATTTATTCACGAATTTGTTCTTTCAACATGGCATTAGTTTTATTCCGTCGCTCAAGTTTTCTCGCTAATAAACGACAATTCTTTTTCCAGTCTTCCAATTCGGCTTGAACTTTTTCTAGTTTTTCATCTCGTGGCGGAGCGCTGTAGGCATGTTCCTCGCTCAGGCAGGATCGCGAGTTTGGCCTTACTGGAAGCCACGTGGGTGGGGAGGTTGCACCGTCTTGCGGCTCGGGGGTAATATTTCTTGGCGGTGGGGACAAAAATAGGTCGTCTGATTAAAACTTGTCTGTTTCATTGGTAAGAGTTAAACTTCCAGGGGAAATAGTGCGGCTGGGTGGTTGTGCTGGTGGGAGGAGACGATTTAGAGGGACACCTGTAAGAGAAAAAGTTAAGAGATTTATCGATATAAATTTACAAGGAAAGACTCCCGGCGTATGCTCTCGGATTTTGAGAAAATTAGAGTCACTTAAAAAATCTCAAATTTAATTATTATTCATGCAAAAAAATGTAGCCTTGCCTTAAAAAATTTCTATGAAAGGCTACCTAGTATAAATATATCTCATTTTTAAGGCGTATCTTAGCAACTTGTAATTTCGACGCTGAAATATATTACTGTCGTGGATAAGATAATTAAAATCAAAAGATTTTCGTCAGGTTACCCTTTAAAATTTCTAGGCTGTATTAATTTTACACGAACAGTAGTGTGAAATTTGCAAAAATCCGATCTAATAAAACTCAAGTTTTGCAAAGATGGTTAAATCCGAAAAGAGGAAAACGTGATAAATTTGGAGGTTAAATTTGTCAAATTTTGCGCCCATTCATGTTCTACATATTCTTCGTAACTTCTCTGCAAAATCTGCCCATTGCGAGGTCGTCTTTCGCAAATTTGATATTTCTTGAATTCGGGATCGATTAACACTACATACATATGTAATTTACTCAAAATCTGAGTGCATACGCTGGGATGTGCATGGTAAAATAATTCAGGAAATATTACTGTTTTTCGTTTCCATCGGCATTGCCCACTCTTCGATCTCTTGGCGTCCCTTGGACATCCGGAACATCGTGGTAAAAGTGCAGACTACATATTTTCGTATTCTTGGTCGGTGTCCAGCTCATATTTCCTTTCTCCGTCCGGATAAAATCAGTCCATTTCTTTCACTCTGTGCAAAAAAAGTAGAAAAATTTGGGAAATTGTAATTCTCATATTTTTATAACTGACATAAATTTAAAAGCTTACGAGTGCAAAGTGATGTGCTGTGGGACATCCGGGTGCCAACTTTTATTGCAACTTGGCTTGAGACAACACACTTGTTTGGAATGATTCCTTGTGGGATCTGTCAAAATATGGAAAATGATAATTTGTAACTTGCAGAATAGACACGTACGTATTGTAATTTTTGCAACTTTTTAAACCAAAAAAATAACAGATCCACTTGGTCCGAGTAAATTTGCAGAAATGTATACGCTAATTTTACTTTAGCACGTTCCATAAAGCTTTGTAAAAGCATACACAATTACAAAGTTATGAAGAGCTACGTCAATTGTTTTACAGATTGACAATTGAATTAATCATTATTTAATTCACTACTTTACGACGGGTATTCATTACGAGTTCGAATATTTAGCAACCTTACAAAGTTACACATCCCCGTGTAGGGTGACCATATTTCTCCCGACTAAAACCGGGACATTTTTTGCAAAAAAAAATTTCAATAATATCTAGTGCTTGGCGAAAAAATTTTCAATAATATCTAGTGCTTGGCGAATCGGGTATACCGAATTTTGAGAAACAGCCAGGGTAGAAAATTAAGTAAATATTTCATGCATCTTACTGGCATATATGTGCTAAAAGAGTGCCTTGCAGTTCATAGTGAGCGTTTCATAGTCATGTCTTTCATAGTTTTCGTTTCATAGTACATTCGTTTCATAGTTGTTTTTTACATCGTTATTTGTGATTTTTCATAGTCATTCACTACATAGTCATTTTTTTACATAGTGGAAATGTTACATAGTGGGAGTGTTACATAGGATATGTTTAAAATAGTCGCAATATTTCATAGCCCCTTAAAATTTCTAAATGTTTAATTGAACATCAGAAATCAATTTAGAGTAACGGATCATTGTCAAAGTATCTTAATTGTATGTGGTATACTAACTCTTTATTGGTTTCGAGGAATAACGTTTTCATGATTTTTTCAAATCTTTGTCACTTCAGAGGAAGAGAAAAACGCAAGTGCCAATAATATCTTACATGTAACGTAAAATATTAATTTCAAATTTGCCATAAAGTTTTAACTTCAGGTTTATTTAAATTTTGTGATTTTAACATTTGGTATGTTATGTAATTATTGTAATGCCAACTTATTTATCATGCCTGGAGCGTGGTTGTGGTTACCAAAATGTCACGTTAAGCTTTAAAATCTTATGGATATCGCACTGCATTCTTTACATTAATATCAAAGATGGTTTTGAATACTCATGGAAAAACCTAAAGTGCAGACTACATATAGCCCGAGTCAGGGACAGAGTCCCTAACTCCGTGGGTCCTAGCTGTTTCTAAATTTTTCTCCGAATTGACCAGCATAATATTACCATTCCGAACTTCAAAGCTATATTTGCTATCAAGAAGTGGTTTTTAGTCTTCGTACCAAATTTCAGATGGAAAAACTTAAAACTAAAAATTGGTATGGGTCACTCCATAGGGTCGCTCCAGATAAGAATTTTACCCATTTCATGCCATATTCTTCCATTATGACCCATTAGCAACCTCTCTACCAAATTTCACCTTGTTATGACGATTTAAAAAAATCAGTGTGGGTCCCCCCATAGGGTCCCTCAATATGAAAATTTTTCCAACTTGAAGTAATTTTTATCTATTAGTAGCCATTAGGAACCTCTATACCCAATTTCAGCCTTCTACGACAATTTTGAAACTTTGGTGCATAATACCCCACCCACCTAGATGACCCCCACTGGTCAACCACTTGACCGATTTCGCCCATCTTCGAACTTGTTTCCTAACTTTGGCCAATATGCATATGGTAAAAATTTCAAGTCAATCGGTTCAGCCGTTTTGGCTCTATCGTGCCGGACAGACAGACGGACGGACATGACGGTTACACAAGCCCTGACTCGGGCTAAAAATAATTCTGCAGAAGCATTGCAGTGCAGATAGAAAACAGTGGTATCAATACTATGTAGTGAAATCACTATTAACGTTATTCACTATGAAGGAGACTGCACTATTTAAGTAACGACTATATAAAGACATACTATGTAAAAGCCGACTATGAAAAAACGAACTATGAAAAGCCTTCGCTATGAAAACGTAACTATGAAAAGAATGACTATGAAAGAATGACTATGAACTGCATGGCACCGGTGCTAAAATCTACTTTTCCATCAATATTTTGGATAAAAAGCAGGATAATTTAATTTTTCCTGAAATCTTAAAATCTGAGACACTTTCTCAAAACCGGGACAGGTTTTGAAAAGCGGGACATGTCCCGGCTAAACCGGGACGGATGGTCACCCTATTCGTGTGGCTTGCTTACACTTTTAAAAATACATAATGTAACATTATGTATTTTTAAGGGTAACATTATTAATGTTACCCTTTTGAAAATCCAGTCTAAACTCGAAATTGGGTAAATTAATCGAAATCCAGAGTAAGTTTTAGTTTTGAGAGGTCAACGTTACTCTGAATTTAGTCAAGTTTACATACTTAATTGAGAATTTAGACTACACTTGCAAAGTTCTTTTCAAAATGGCAACCTAATTTTTAGAAATGTGTACACATATTTTGTTGAGGTAATTTTTCAAAATAATGTCGCGACGCGAACTCATAGTGAATGAATACCCCGAATATATTCCAACCCTCTTACCGATGGCGTTGATCGGAGTCTCGTCCTCAGGATCTTCTCTATCCGTCACAACGTCGTGAAAACTTGGGGCCACAATTTTGCACGGATTTCCTTCGCTCGTAGAATCAGGTCTACTCGATTCGTTCGTACTGTCCCAATTTCTCCAAGTATTGGAACTTTCGTACTGTAAACTATTAA